ATAAATACTTTATTATGAAAAATAAATCACGTTTAATATTCATAAATGGGGTAGGGTATTATATGGTCGGCCACGCCCGACTATACTTTCTTATTTGTTTTAAAATAAAAACGTAACATGAGTTCAAATTAATTTTGTATGAAATGTGGTAGAAACAATTTTTAGATAAAAATTTTACATGCACACATTTTTTTTATTAATTTTATTTTAAAAATTTTTTATACCCATTATTTTGTAAAAAATCTTCCATTTTAAAATATTTTTCTGGTTTTATTTAATATCACAACTTGAAGAAATGTATAAAATTGATAGTTTCTTAGATGAAGTTAAAATTGTATAGAAAAACACTCGACATTATGCACCGGCAAACGTTTATGGAAATCATAAAGAACTGTTTGGTATCTTTAAGATACACGTTTTTGGCTAACAGCTGTTGTTGGCACGACTTGAGATATTTTGACTGAAAAGAGAAACGGAACAATTGACTACTCATTTCCTTAGAATTAAGAGCCAATAGCTGAAAGAGCATTTAAGACATGACAGGGTTGGTAAAATTGGTACAATTGTACTTTTTTTGGTACAATTGAATCCTCAAAAGTACACCAATGACCCATTTTGTACAATTTGAAATTCATTTCCTTATTGAAATAATCATCTGAAATTGTACTTCTGACATTTTCATTACACTTTTAAGAAGTTATGAAAAGAACATTTAGAAATATTTTCAGAGGATAAAAAATTAGGCCATCCTAATGTAGATAGAAAAATAGCTCCCGCTAAAAATGTCTGTGTAGTTAAATATTGTCAAAATTCTAATTTAAAATTAACTGAATTATATAGATTTTTAATTTTTGTTTAAATTATTTCTAGGAAATTAATTTGCAATCCATAATAATAAAACCAGATATTGTTTGGACGCAGTATATAGATAGATATCTAGTCATAAGCGAAGTAAAAAAATAAAAGTCAATAAAATATCTAACAATGAACATACATATGTATATATGTATGTATGTACACGTAAACTAAATATAAACAAATACTTGTATTTATTGTTGCTATTTTAAAAATAAATACGTCACATGAGTTCAAATTAGTTTTGTATAAATTGTGGCAGAAACTTTTTTAGATAAAAAATTCACATTCACAAACACACATTATATTTTTTGTATTTTAAACAATTTCTTACCCATTATTTTGTAAAAAATCTTCCATTTTAAACTATTCTTTTAGTATTATTTAATATCACAAGTTGAAGAAATATTTAAAAGGCCTTAATTAGATGTGTAAATAAATTGTTTTTAGTTTTTTTTTGATGAAGTTAAAATTGTTATAGGAAAACACGCGGCATTATGCACCGGTAAATGTTAATGAAACTTTATTTAGATACGAATGACCGAACGTTTATGGTATTAATAAAGAACTGTTTGGTATCTTTTAGATACACGTTTTTTTTTGCTGACAGCTGTTGTGGGCACGACGGGAGATATTTTGGCTTAAAAGAGAAACCTAATAATTTACTACTCATTTACTCAGATTTAAGAGTCTAAACCTGAAAGAGTATTTAAGAATAGAGTTACCATGGCAAATTTTATTATTTTTTGTTTATAAAATAAATGTTTTATTACTTGTCTTAGCTACAAGCAATATTGAATTTACCTGGTATCTTTCTAGGTATTTTTATTTTTATTTCAGTGTGGTAACCCTTCTCCATCATTTACTTTTTCTCTTCAGGGTTAATTTTCTTCTTCTTGGAGTTCTCATGGTTTTTTGTTTTCGCCTAAATGATGAACGTCTTGCGTTTATTGCATCAGCAATAAACGTTTCTATAGGTACATTATTAGTGTACGTTTATATTTGTAGTTGCCAAACCATTAAGAAAGAGGGGAATCGAATTATTGAAAAAAAGTATTTGTAGAAATAATAGTATATATGTACATACAGTACTTTTAATTTCAGAACTATTACCAAAATAAAAAATTTAATTAAATACAGTTTTAAACATTATTATATTAAAACATTTATTCATAAAATATGTAGACTAATTTAATACATTCGTATATATGTACCCAACAGTTCGACAAGGAGTCAATACTTCAGAAAAATATAGTCATCACCACCAACGTCTAACCACCTGTTTGGCTATAATTCGTCTTTCGTCTCAAATGTACTCATTGTAAACGATAGTGAAGACAGTTGTCACATTAGTATCCCCTTTGTAAGCGAGAACGGATATAGTCGTCACTTTACAGTAGCCAAGTAATCTAGAGAGTGGACACTTAAAAAACAAAAAACGAACAAAAAATGTTCATTGCCGTACATTTACTCCTTTGGATTAGAATTCTAATTTATAGAGTGACAATTAACTACCTCGTAGCACAAGCACAGGCTAAAATAGCTGCTATGCTGGGCAGTCAATGGTTAGGGGTAATCTTAACTGGTAGCTTAAATATGTAGTTCGGGACTGTCCGGCCGAACTGTTGGGTTCATATGAATTTGTATATTTCTGTTTCCCATCTATATATGTATGTGCACACATATGTATGTATGTATGATTAGCTATAATAGCTTTAAGTTAAAGCTGACCATTGAAACTGGTGTGAAAAATTCTGTAGCCTGTTTTTAGGCAGTTCAATTAAAAAACTATATTGAATATATCTATTCACATAAACATTTGCAAGATATCTTTCACAATGATTGAATAAATACCAAAACTATTGACTCTCTTACCCAGCAAAAAACATGTTCAAAAGAAGCGAAAAAAGTGCAATTATAGAATATTTTTTACAAGAATACGCAACTCGACGTGCGGGTTGTTATGATTTACACATATTCTTTATGTATTACGACCCGCTATTGAAAATGTATCTTGTATGAGATGCACATTCTATGTATTAAATATTCTTTGGTAGAATTTACTCCATGGAAGTACTGAAACAGACCTGCAGCAATTTTTAACTCAGGCTTGTTATATGAGGGATGTCCCTTTTAGGGAGTAGTGAAATGTTAATACTTATAGTAACATGTACATAATTTGACTTCAATAATATTAACATAAAAATTTTAGTCGTTTTTAGAATTCGATCCTTACATCCATCAATAATTAAAACAAGTTTTTTAACATTCAAAACACGTGCTATTATTTTATTAGCAGAAATTTAACAACATTATACTTATTTTTTTGCAAATTGTTTCTTCTATTTTATGGGTTTTTTAACTTTTTTGGCAAATAGCGACAAACGGCCTTTTTAGCTATAGATTTTTGTTTTTGAATTCTCAAACTCAAGTGTGTCTTGTAATTCCAGCTGTACCACTTGGGAAGAGTTGTTGTAGTTCTCGTCCATGTCTATACCAGGTTCATACCCATTTTGAGAGTTTTGTGGAAACAGAGGTGGCAAATATATTAAATCGGGACTGACGGTAGTAAATACAATTTCTTTAAAATGAATATTTTACTAGTGGTTTCATCATTTGTAAATTGTATAGGTGTCGTTGTTGTTGACGTCCGATCATTGTTCACTGTTGTAGTAGGCAACTCAGAAGGGTATTTCCGGTCTAAATCCTGGATGTGGAGCTTGTTCTTGTCTAACTAATCTTTTAAAACTAATTTCTTTTTAAATTCACTGGTTCCGCATGACTTAGAATCAAAAGGCTTATTAAAATCAATAATTGTTTAAGTGATGTCATATTTTGTTAGTTTTGTTTTTCTTATAATCTTTTGAAGAACTTAGTATTTCGTAATAATTGTTCAAATATACAATTAATACCTTTTATAACACGTTTTTTTTTTCTTTTTAATAACTGCCCACTTAAACGATTCATAATTTTTTTAATAAGTATTATGTATATTATTTATTTTGGGTAATTGTGTGAATCTTCATTAAAATACATAAATTGTAAATATGTATCAATATTATATTTATTTTTATATGCACCCTATAGAAAGTATAATGATTTTATCATGCCGTATGTAACACATCAAAATATTGGTTGAAATTTTAGGAAGATCTTGCTGTCTTTTCGTCTAACTTTATTTTAAAAGCAAGTATGTATAAGTCTCGAGAAATATAAATATCAAATTAAATTTACCAGATAGATGTTATTATGTACACAAATCGGTGTGTCTTGTTGAAGGTGTATAAGATTCGGTTCGAATATATCATTCTCACTAATTTTTATTTATTTAATTCTACAAAATGCTTTACTGGGTGAATAATATATTTTTTTTATTTCCAACAAATGTCTTTTGTTTTTAGTTGTGCATACTAATATTTATTTTGTCTATAGAGTTCAACGATGTCTGAATGTTCACTGGCCTCTATTTGTTTATAACGCCATCTAATTCATTTTGATTTTTTTTTTTATTTAATTTTTATTCCCAAACAAAACATTGATATGTATATACTGTAGGGTGGCAAGATATATGTGATTTTTTTCAATATTTTGAAAATCAATGGACAGACACGTTTCATAATTGAACTTTTAAGTCGATTTGACATTATTGATTGTCATCTGAATTGTTTTATTTTTATTTTAATACGTATAGTTCTGAAGTACTTTTCCTAACTATAAAAAATTTACAAATATGGAATATTTTTGTTTTTTTTTAATTATGTAGAATACTTACTTATATGCATTAAGTATTAATTATTATTTTTTTATATTAAAACAATAACACAAATACATATTTATAATATGAATTGAGTAATTAATGTTTAATGTTATTGTTTAAGGAATTTTTTTAATATTAATTTTCAAGTTTTCTTATATTGCTATCGTAATATCATGACCTCCGTTGGTCAACCTTTATACAAGGTTTATAATACAAATTTTGTATTAAAAATTGCTTTTATAAAAATTATATGAAATATATGATTTTTATGAATAAAACGTTCTCCATACATTTTGAACTTTCTTCAAGTGTTCCTAGTCCAATATACCCAGAGACATTACAACTTGTCTTTGGGTACTAAAGATTAGAAAATAAAATAATTTACATGTAAATTTTTAATATTCTTTTTGTTTTTATTTATAAAAATATAACATACACTGAAAACTTAACAATTCGTAATTAATAGGGATACTCGTAATATTTGGTTCTGCAATTGTTTGAATGTAAATTAAATGTTACAACACTTTTTCTAATGTAAAGTGTAAATGAGAACTGGTTCTGAATGTATAATTTCCACAGTATTAAAACGTGGTTGCACAGGTGCACTGCGCTGGCGCAAAGCAGCAGAACGTGAGCGTTTAGCGGGAACACGGGAGCGAATTGGTGCAGATCGTGAACGAGCACGAATATTCTTATTTCTGGGTTGAATAAGATTTTCGGAAACTAAATTACCTTCCGATTGGGGAATTTCTTCGGCTTCTGGCTCTTCGATGGCAGGTTGGTCATCGGTTGTGGGTGGGCCATAGGTATTATCGGGCTCAGTTATTGCTGGAACGTCTTCGGCTTCGGGTGGGCCATAAGTTTGATCAGGTGTTGGCTCTGGTGGACCGTAGGTTTCATCGGGTGTTTGTTCTGGTGGACCATAAGTTTGATCGGGTGTTGGCTCTGGTGGACCGTAGGTTTCAGCGGGTTCAGCAACAGGTGCTTCAGTTTCGGTTGGTAAATCAAAGGGAATTTCTGGAGTCACACCAGCTGGTGGGTATGGTGCCGGAGAAGGTGCTGCCTCTGGAGCCTGTTCTTGGCGAGCCAAAAATTTCCTATTGTTTTGTGTTTTCAAGCTGCCGAAACGTTTCGATTGTCTGAAGCGTGGAGGTTCAGCCGCTACCAAAGCCAAAGCAATGGCAATAATTGCAATAGTTGTGTAAAACTTGGCCATGTTAATGATTTTTTTGCTAACTCTGCTTCTGGTGTCGTTGTTCTTTTCTAGTTGTCTGTTGTAAGTGATGTGATGTTCTGGTGGTTTAATAATTTGCCTTTTATACTACAATGTTAAATTACCTCTAGTCATTGATTGTTTTGACATTAAATTAAATTTGTTTATACTTTACTATTTTGCCAACTAGTGTCAATGACAAATAAATTTTGGTTACATTTAGTAGGTAAGCTAGTAACGTAGTAGCATTTAGTACATCGTATTTGGAAGCAACTTAACTTTAGCATACATTATTATTTCTTATTAAATTTTTAATGTTCAACTTTGAATTTTATTTCTCATGGGCTCTACGTGACCATAAATATTTAGTTGAACATATATTATAATATCAAGGGCTCCGTTAGACTTTTCTTTATAGATAGAATATTATTTTAAAATTCTCATAAATTTTAAAATTAATTAAAGTTCCTGACAAGAACACTTTCACACTTTTTAAACAGTGGAAGAAAATAGTAAATATTTTTCGAAAGGATACATAATTATTTTTTTATATAAATTTCTATTGGAAGCTTTAGCGGTCTTTGTACAAAGCAAGTCTAAAGCAACGTCATTTCCACCTGCTTTTGGGAACTATAGCCTGTAACTCTCATTAATATTCTAGTGGTATGACAGCCAAAACAAAGTGTCGCACCACATAATTTAATAGCATAATTAATTTTGTTTATTAATCATGGATGTATGTGTGTGTGTGTATGTATCATCCTATGGATACAAACACAGTCACAGCACATGGACATATTAAGAGTTCATACTATTTATGTTCGTACATATGTATATGCGAATAAGAAATGCCAAAATAATAAAATTTTTATTTAAAGTTCCCTTAAATGAACTGCTTATGATAGATAAGGTTCAGTATATTCGTATAAAATAAACAAGAATTTTTAGAAATCATATCAGTTAACGATTAGAAACAGCGAAGGCAGCAATATATTTATCTCTAAAGGATTGTAGAAGTTACAACATTTATAATGGCACAATTTAAAAAGATTTCATTGATTATCTTGGTCTTGGCTATTGTAGCCTGCTCTGCTGAACCAGCCAGATATCGCCAACGTCTGGCTGCTAAGAAATTGCAGCCTTTGAGACAACGCCCAGCAGTACCACAGAAACGTGTTTTAGCTAGACAAGAAGCTGTAACACCTTACCCTACTGCTGATGAATTGAAACCAGAAGTTCCTTTCGAAGAAGGAAACCAACCCGATGAAGTATATGGACCTCCCGATGAGACTTATGGTCCTCCCGAACTTGATGAAACTCCTGCCGATCAATTGCCTTCAGAAGAGGCACCCGAAGAATTTGCTCCCAATCCCGATGCTGAAGAATTCCAACCCGCCGAAGAAGAGTCTGTGGCCCCTGTAGAGGAAGAGCAAGTCTCAAGACTTACCAACAGAAGAAAATCAAACAAGAAAAACATTTCATCCCGTTTGGTCCAAAAGAAGAAAGCTAAAAAATCCCAACGTTTGGTAGTTGCTCCTGCTCCAGTAGTAGCACCTGCTGCCTCAGTACCTGTTGCTTTACCTTTTGCCACCCCTTACACTGCCCAGTCTCAACAATACTATCTTCTAAACCAACCTTTCGCTTACACTGCTCAATATCAAGCTTGGTAAAACAAAATGAGAGTGTTTGGTTAGAAAAAAAAAACCAAAGATATTTAGTCAATTTATTAAATTAGTCAGTTTGTTTATGTTCAAACCACAAAAACAATATATTCTAGCAAATCCTTCCAATTAACTCATAGACATATAAAAACAAATTATACAAAATGTGCTGTTAATAAATCTTAAGAGAGAAACGAATTAAATACGAAATCATGTGTTATTTCATTTAATATCTTTATGATATATTAATTTATGATAAATGTAATAGCGATTGCTTTATAATTAACATATTTTTATGTATTTAAGTGAACAAAGAGGGAACAAGAGTCAAGAGTGTACTACGTGTACCAAATATCATCGAATTATTTTCAAAATATAAAGACAGATAGACGGACATGATAACCATCAACATTATAATGATGTAGGATATAGTGCAAAATATTCTACAAATTAATATTTTGTTAAACATTTCATAATTAGTTTCTATTGTCCGCTGTTAAACATTCCATTAATGCAGTATACGTATAACTTTCATGTTTTATACTTACATATCGTCGGCTGAAACTGAAACGGCTAACCGAAATTTCAAAATCGATTTTATTGTTGATTCTAGTGTGCTGTATCAAAACAAATGTCCTCAAAATTGGCCTCACACAAAAGGCCCAATCTACAAAAACATTTTATTATTAAAAGTAAAAAGTTCAATTCAACCATTTTTATTGTCAACTATCATAACAAATGATAGGTTTCACTATTAAACAATTTTTTTATTTAATAAAATTAAATCGTGCTGAAAAAATGTTAAATAGGGCTATTTGCATTTTAGGTGACGATATGTATGTATGCATGTATTTATTTATTTCATCACTTTTCACCTGGCTTTGAGGTTCTGTAAAATCTGGTTAGTAGTCCCATATACAAATAGTAAAATAAATAATTTTTAAATAATTTAAGTCACACTGAACACTGAATTGGTGTTGTTATTATCTTACAGGTATTTGCAAACATTCACACGCATTCTCGTCAATTGCGTTCTAGTTAAATACTGTTCAACCTTGTTTATTCTTACAGACTTCATGTGTGATCAAATAAACTTACGAATGTTATAAATGAAAAACATATGTATGTATGTGTATATATAAGTATTTACATATTATATTTTTCTTCAGTTATTTCCCCCTCTAAAGACTTGACTACTTACTTAACTCCATATTTGCAGGCGATTGTAGAAAGTACTTACCTAACTCCCTATTTGTAAAGGATCATGGAAAGTACTTACCTCTAATACCATTGTCAACTTAAATTAATGACTTAAAATGCTATTGTGTATTGTATTACTTTTCAATATAAATTTTTGCTGGGATTGATTAAGAGAAAACAAAAAACTCGTCTTAAATGCAGATCACCAATCCAATTTATATATGAATATTTTTAATTGGAAAACACTTTCGTATAAATATACAGTCGCTTAAATGCAAAAAGCTTTATCTAAAATTTTATAAATTTTACAAGAGAAGCAGAAAACCTTTTAAAATGGAAAGTTTTCAATCCACACTATAGGTGGTTCAACAAAACATTAAAACATTTAGTTATGAAATTTGTAATTATGCGCATAAAAATGTAATATTGGACATCTCTGATGGCATATGGACCTGTTTCTTTTTTCAAACGAAATACTTTTATTCCAATTTCTAGAGACTAAAAGGTCTGTTATCTTGCTAATTTATAAGAAAATTATATATGTAATAACTGTAGTACTGTTCTACTCTATGACAGTGCTTTTATTTTATTTAATTTAAGCAGATGAATGTGTGTGTATGTGTGGGGTATTTTTGAAGAAATGATAAGAAATTAATCAAAGGTTAGGGTTTTTTTTTTTTGAAACTGTAAAAATTATATTTTTGAATAATCAGTAAAACCAATTAATAGATTTTAACATGGTATTTTTTATATTTATATTAAAAATATATAAATTCACTTGAGTATTTAACAATATTTACTTAAAGTAGACTTAAAACTATGTTAATTAGTGTCTGTTAGGGGCTTTTTAACCGAAAAAGGAACCTCTAGAGCTTTGAGCACCAGCGAAATTGTTGGTAGTGCCATTGCGCTGTGCTTCTATCGCTTGATAATTAATAAACCAAAATGGCCGCTTATCGATGGGAATCCGATTTAACTGATCGATCAATAATTGATCACCATGGGCATCTAAAGGTACACCTGGTCGTTGAGTTGCAGATGACGAAGGATTTGATGAAGATGATGGTGATATAGTATTGGTATTGTCATCACCGAATCGATCCTCAAATACGACAGATGGACCAATATTGTTGTTTGATGGTTTAACTAAAGCCGTATATACAGATTCTGGAAATACTACTGGATAACCTACTGGAGGCTTTTGTGTTTGTCCAAATGGTATTTGACTGGGGACGGCTGGAACATCTCCACTACCAAAACGATTTTGTATGTCTGTATTCGTGGGTGTGGTTGAATGATATTTATCTTTTTGATTTAAACCATTTGTAGGGCGACTGCCAGCAAATGAAGGCCTTTGGGCCCAGCTAGAGGGCATGACTAATAGCGCAATTACCACAATACCGATTTGGTGATTTTTTATAATTTTAGCCATGTTAAAATTAAACACAATTACTTTAATAAATAATATTTTTGTTTTTAAGTTTGGTAAAAAAAAAATGATCATAAAATCAAAACTCGTTTATATTAAAAAAAATATTCGCGCTGTATACAATTAATGAAAACTGAATTTATGCGTTTTTTTTTTTTTTTTTTTGTAGCTCTGGATTTTATATAATTGATACTTTCACGTCTTGAAGTAAACTAAAATGAGCTCAACACTTCGTTTATTTATAAATACAAATCTCGTAAAATATTGTTTCTTTTTTATTCATTGAAAACTCTCATCTCTTTCTGCTTATTAATATAATTTTAAGCCTGCAAAATTTGTTACTTACTCATCTTTCAGATCACAGCACAACTTGCAAATACATATGTACATACGTCTCAAACAAACGGTCAGACAGACAAATAGACTGGTAGCCCTCGTTTTTGTTTTATTTTTACATTGATTGTTTTGTTTATCTCTTGTTTTTTTGTGAATACCCTACTTAAGGTAGACAGACAATGGCCATAGATCTTATTTATAAATGACACTAATAGTTTATTTCTAATAGATGAATAACATAAAAAAATTAAGAAAAATATAATATTTAATATAAATATCAGTCCACAAAAATATAGGAAATTCTTTGACCTAAATGTAATAAATTATAGTTTGGAAACTAATCTAATTTGTCTAATGATATGAGATCACAGTGTTTCAAATGCGACTTGGCATCCCTGTTCACCATCATATGTATTTCATAGTAAAAAATATTAAGAGAATAATTCAAATGTCTAAGTATCTGGTTTGGGTTTTATTTCATTGCGGTTTTGGGATATTCCCAAGCAACAAAACCAACAACTACGTCAACATCGAGACGCGAGCAAAACGAAAGAGTACATTGAAAAAAAAAACACGAAATTAATAAGCAAAGTAAAAATATAAAAATATACATAAGTATATTTCATAGTATTTCATACAAACGTACATACGTATGAATATTTAACGTTTTAATTAAGCAAAAGCAAGCGGCGTATGATCGTGCTTTTTCCAAAAACAAAAGGCAACGCGCACTCCTTTGATTTGAAATGATGAAAATGTAAATAATGATGATTAATATTAAAATAACCATAAACGATGACGTAGATAATTTTTGAAAAAATCCTATGAGTACATCAAGATGCTTCCAAAAAAAATTAATTCTGTAACTTTTAAATCTTTTTAATCATAAATATACATACTCACAGTATATAATATACAAACATCGGTGGTCAATAGTTTGCATGCACTATTTAAAAAAAGTTGTTTGATAAGAATTCAGATTTGTGGTCTCTTTCATAAACATTTATCAAAGGTTTATAGAACAAATTTTGTAAGAAAATTTGATAAATGTTTATTTATATAGATAAAGCGTACTGACCTTTAACTTTATCAGCAGTAAGACCACAATAATTTAAATAATACTAGTGATGTTTTTTTAAAAAGCTCATTTTATTTTAATAAAATTCGTTTAAATTAATATCTAATTTCATATCGAAAAAATTTCTAGTGAATAGAATAAGCGGGCGTTGTAGTAGCAATAGGCAGCAGTAGTGTCGAATTAATTTGGGGATTTGTTTTTAAATAATTTCGAAAATCTTCTAAACTTCTCCTGAAGAAATGTGGGGGAAGTAGAGACATTTTCTAATTAACCAGCAATTTAAGCAGAACGTTTTGGTTTGGCAGCACGCAATTTAGCTAAACGGGCTTGACGGTAGGCAGCCTTACGACGAGCTTGAACTAAACGAGCTTGACGTTGTCTTTGACGGGCCAAAGTGACTTCAGCAGGTAATTGATTGGCTTCGATTTCTGGTGGGCCATAAACTTCATCGGGAGTGTTGTAGAGAACGGATTCTTCAGGAGGTCCATAAACCTCATCGGGAATGGGTTCGTTGGCAGCACCTTCGGAAGCTTCATCAGCAGGGAATACTTCTTCCTCTTCCACAACGGCGGATTCATCGACAGGAACAGGAGCAGCTTCTTCAAATGGAATTTCTGGTTTCAATTCATCGGCTGAAGGATAGGGTGTAATAGGTTCTTCGACTTCTTGGCGCGCCAATTGACGATTGCGTTGTAAACGACCTGGGCGAACTCTTTGTCTTTGGGCTTCACAGCTGAATACAGCCAAGACCACCAAAAGTAAAACAAGAGCAAATTGGAATTTGGCCATTTTCGATTAAAACAAACTTCTTAAAGCTGGTTAATTTTTAGATTATGTGTGTGTAGCTTTGGCTAAGCCTGGAGCAACTGATACCTGTTCTCAGTTTCGCCGTCTCATTTATACTCGTCGAAACTTCTAAGCGTCGTTGAGCTTATTAAGATCCTTATTTGTGGCCGCTATTGCCTTGATTGGTTATCATGGACATTTACGGTAAAAACCAAGCAAATTCTCATTCATTCATTGGTGACAATTAAAGTTATGCTGATTTTATGGGCTAACGTGACAAAAATCCCATACAAATCGAATAGAATGCAAAAAAATACACACACGCACATTTATTGAACATTCATATAGCATATGCAATTATTTACTATATACATACTCCACTTACTTACCCATAAAACACATTCCAAAAACACACACACACACTCACTGGCTACTAAACTCTAGCCAGTCTACATTAATAAACACGACAAATATCCAAAATGCAGTACAAAATAGAAAAAAAAATCAAACAATTTCAATTAGCAATTAATGCCATAAACAAATAGTAGACAAATTTCAAACTCACCGGAAATCATAGTGATGGTTCCTTTTTGCCAAAAAGCAATATTTTGCAACGGGGAGATGCTAATTCAGGCAAAGTGTCTGCATCGAGTAGAATATAATGAGAAAACAATTTAGTGTAACATATACACTAGTACTTATGTCTAGTGTGATACATATGGTTGTATGGCTTTTATAATATGTATATACACAAGCACACTTACATGCATACATATTCATTCATATATGTGTAAGTTTACTATTTCATAGTTTGGAACAATTTCAATTTTGGTTTTTGTGAGTTTGAAAGTCTAAATAAATGGAATAAACTATGAGGGAATTTGGAAAATAACATGTGCATATGTATGTATGTACACTTGAACAAAAACTTATAAAAAACTAAAATTTGCAATCTTTAAAAAAAAATCAAAATTTTAAATATTTGTGGAGCGGGAAAACTTGTTTTTTATTAGAGTACATCTTTCTTTATTTGCGAATTGCATAAATGTGTATTGATTTGTTTATATTATTGTCTAATTTGTCCATTGACAATTAACAAAATGATCTTTAATTTATGGATACAAAAATGCCATAGAATTTTTATTAAAATCATGGAAAATTAATGAACCTTTTAAATAATGCTTTAATAGATGTTTTTCTTTTCATTATTTATTTTTGTTAAACAAATCAGCATATAATGCTGCTACATGCATTTCATTATACAATTAAAAATATTAGTTTTTAATAGTAGATATGTTCTATTATAAAAATAATTACAAAGGTGCATTTTTCTCAAGGTCATGGGGGGGATGTCATGCTAAGTTTTATTATCAAAATAAATGTTAAATCCTAATGATTAGTTTGAATAAAACACCTTATAAATTAAATACACTTTGTATGCATAATCAACAAAAATATTACATATACATATCTATATATAAGGGTGTTCCTTTAACTGTAAAAATTGTTACAATTCATCTGGGATTTATTTCATTTCTTTCTTTTATATCTATAATATAAAATAATGTTTATAATATGGTAAGAGAAAATCATTAGCACTTAAATGGTTTTTACATTTATAATATGATATTAAATTATACATTAATAACTAGTCAACTCGTAACACCCTACGTGCAGTAGATATCAGCAAATGGCACACAGTCAAAGCCGTAAACAAACAAACAAACTAACGAATAATCACAGAAGCAATTTCATTTTACCACATACTTATGCGTTTAATAACAAAATTGTAACAAACACATAGAATGAAATGGAAATGACTTTATGTATGTTTATAAAGGTATTAGGGTATTCAATTATAAATTAAAAAAAAAATTACTCAAATATAGAAGTTAAGACTTCAATATTTTTTATATACAAATTACAATAAATTTTATTTGTTTTGAAATAAAATTGTTTAAATGAAACAGATTAATAGTTTTATTAGTTATTTTAAATTTTACAACATTAATATATTTGATGGTTTGAATACCCTAATATGTGTATTTAACTAACAAGACACGTACGACATACGCATATCAACACTAACACTAACAATAAACGCAGATACAAACTCAAACCTAAAATCAAATACAAGTTGTATTGTACGATAATAATGACAACAACAAGAACAAAACCTCAAAACCAAATTGAATAAAATTTACACGCAGACATACACACACACACCCGATACAAACTCCTACAACCGATTCGAATAAATTCATACATTTTAACACACATACATATAAAATTCTCGAACATTAAATAATATGATGATTGCCTTTCTGCTGCCTCCTATATTTGTAAAACATTCATAAAAACAAAACTAATGTTCAGAATTATTAATAAATATGTGTATGGACAGACAATATCAAGTAATAATTTAATAATTGTATGAAAATAGGCATTCATTTAACGAATTTTACATACCCTACCTTTTTGTTTTCGACTTTATTATATTCATGCGAAAATGTTTTTTATTTCCACATTAGAAATAGGCATGGAAAACTTTCTTTTTTCTTTTAGTTTTTAAAGTTTTTCAAACAAAACTTAACGCATACACACACATTAATATATGTATATGTAAATATATTGTGGGTAACATACACAACGATAAATTTCATATACCTTAAACCCAGTTTAAACATTATAAAACTGAGTAATGACACTAATGATACACGTAATATTGGATTTATGCCAAATTTGGAAAAGACGCCATTCATAACTCAGACTTTCAGTTTCATTGTGGAATATTCAAATGAGCATTTAGAATAGAACGAAGTGAAACAGAAAACAAAACATTTATAATATTTTTTTAATTGTACTTCGATATTTTAATGAAAATTTCTATAAAACTAATGAGTTTTGGGTGAAATAAAATTAGTCTGTTTCAATTTTTTGATTAATAAATCAACAACAACTGACAGTGCCGTCTATAAGTGTACTTTTCAATCAGGATCTTACAAATTGTTTACTTTGTTTGCAAGAAATCGTAAAAATGATTGTGATTAAAAAATGTAATGTAAAGTGTCTCTGGCTGTTGGTGTTAATTTCGTTCATTTGTTTGGCAAATGCACGACAAATTCGCTACAGCCGTTATAATACAGAAGTGATAGAAGACAGTGTGCAGAATCAGAACAGCACTAATGTTACTGATAATCAAACTGTAGATGATGACAGTGAAATTGAAGCAACAGTGCGAGAAATTAAACTGGCACCATATCCTGCAAGTGGCTTCAGACCATCAAGAGCATTTCCTTTGCCAAACGAGCAAGCCGCGAGAAATGCACAAAGTGATATTGAGGCACAAGTTACAGATGAATCGGTATTTGCATCAACGACCGAGACTATCGATTTCGCCACAACGACGCTAGGATATGAAGACGAGACAACTACTATTAACAGTATAGCTGAAGATAACTTAAATGAAGATGATAGTGAAAAAGTAGAGAGTGGAGATGATGTACTGGCAGAAACTGAAGCACCCAAGGCTCCTTACCCTCCAGCTGGTTTTCAGCCTAGAATACCTTTCTTGTTGCCCACGGACTTTTCGTTGAAAAGCGAGCAGCAACTGAAAGAGGAAGAAAATTTGACAGAATTGCCCAACGAAGATACTACTGAATTGCCGGCTGAAACTGAGGTTAAAGCACCTTATCCAGCAGCTGGCTATAGGCCATCTAAAGCTTTTCTCTTACCATCAGAACAATTACAATTAGAAGCCGAAAAGAAAGAGGATGCAAAACCTCAACATGATAATAGCAACCATCCGGTGTGTGGTTCCAGTACTAATCCATTGGCTCCAAAGCCCATAGACGGCGAAAAAGAAGATCCGGACTCGGAGTCCATTAATGTTAACATCCAAACTCAACAAAGATCTCAACAACAACGAGCTGTCGTAATACCAGTACGTTTTTCGGTGCATCCTCTTCTGCTTACCAGACCTCTTGTCTACAGTGCTCCCATACCAACATCATGGTGAAACATTTAAGACATTTTTATAGAATTTTCCTTAAAAAAGGTTTTAAATCTAACATTTTTCAGTATTTCACTTAAATTTCTTCTGTTAAGTTTATATTTTTTACACTTTTTTTATATTTTTAATAAGTTCATGCAAAATGTAACACAATATACATGCTATATTTTATATTCAGAAAAAAAAAACAACAAACTTTGTTTGAATAAAAAATTGTATTTTTTCGAAATTAACATACATATTTGTCGTTTTAATTTCAGTTTTCTAGGTCAGTATAACACTAATACTAACAGCGAATTTTAAAATATACACATCTACTATTTGTATCTCAATTCAAATTCAGACAGATAAACCCATACATATGTATGTAGGAACATATATCACATATGTATATGTGTCTGTAACTGTATGCATGTATTTATTGACAATCAAACCAAAGCAATCTGTGTTTATGTGTGTGTGTATAAGATCCACCATTAGAACGGAAGTAGGAAGTCATTTGTATTCGAAAATAACATCAAAAAAACAGAAAAAAAAACAAATAACGTGTTGCATACAAATTATTTCGTTTTTCGTGTTTGTTTTTGGGGGCTTTTTATTTTTTCTATTTTGGCATGAAAGGAATATTTTGGTAATTTTTTTTTTTTTTTTTTTTTTGTATTATTGTTTTCAATTTCTGTTGTGTTTTGGACTTTGGCAACTAAAGTATATTTTTGTTCTTGTATAAAAATAACTACAAAAAAGTAAATTACTTTATATAAATAAAATAAAATATAATTATGGAATTACCCAATAGACATAGTTATATAATTATGTTTTAAAATTTTTAACTAAAAAATCGCAGCTTTCAGAAAAGGTTTTATAAAATTAAAATACGTTTTCAACTTGAAGTATATATGTACAGATGTACGTACATCTTACAACAAAAATATTTTGTTTAAATAAACAAATTGATTTGACGATTAAATGATTAACAGTTTCATTTATATGATTTTTTTATTACAAGTCTTTTTTAGTGTTAAAAGCTAAAATTTAAATTTTATTGTGATGGTGGGTGATATTAGACCAATTAAATGAAAATTAACTTTTTTTTTAAACATTTCAACTATAAATTAAGATATGTAGCTGATTCTGTCATTATATTATGTCTTTGCTATATTAATCTTATATAAAATATAGAAATTAATACATGCGACCGTCACATCATAGTCATGCCGGCTGTACGTGCTTTACATCTTTAATTTCCCTTCCAAAGTATCATATATATACATACAAAAGTACTTACTATAGTGTATCTGTACATACATACATCACGACTTACCCAGCACACGCACATGTTTGATTTCAAATAGGCAATGAACCTTTCCTAAATTTATTTGATAAATTGAAAATATATTTTATATAATATAATCCTAAGAAAGTATAGTCCAGTATACTTGACCATTTGATACCCTACATGATAACTATTGTAGGGTTAGGTCCTGTAATGGCTCGTTCTTCAGATAACATAGACAAAATTTTAAAAAGTTGAAACACAGAGAACAATGTATAACTTTGAAACAATCATAAATCTCAAAAAATTTCAGAAATTCTTAAGTCGCACTGACGACTAGTCAGATTATACTTTCAGAAGACATAACGAAATTCATAGTTATTTAGTTTCAAAGGGGGGTACTATATACATCAAATCCGAAGAATTACACTTAGGCCTTTATCGGGTCTGTTTTGCGCTCCTTTACCAATGCCTCAGGTGGGAATCGACACTTCCACCTCCGGTCTAGAACACAAACCTACCGGAGGCCACAACGAATTTCATAAATAGATGTCCGCTTTTATAGGGTTTCAAATATGTCCAAAAATGGAGTTTTTTCAGTTTTTAGGACACGATATCTCAAAAAAGTGATCTGATGGATCAATCCTTTAGAAAACGTTACTTTGGTCACTGGATTAAAAATTTATTGGCCTGTGTAATTTAATAGAATTTATTTGATAAAAAATTGTTGCACATTTTATGTAAATGGTTGGAGATTTTCATAGAAAATGTTGGTTGGGAGTTGGACAAGTAAAATCTTGCCATACACCTGTTGCTCTTATAAATGGCTCTAAAGATAAACATACGGTATATGTATTAGTTATGTGTATATATACACATACATACATACATGTTTATGTATAGGATTAATAATGAATACCCAGCCATCAATTGCGAAACATTATAGAAATTTACATTCGTTTGAACAACAAAATAATTAATGATCGCCCAAATAGGGTGAAGAGTTATAAGTTATATAATTTAATCGGAAAACATTTAAAAAAATTTTTAAATATAATAAAGTTTAATTTCCAATGTAGGACATGAATGATAAATTTAACTTACAAGTGCATGCTGGGTTTAACAATGTGAATAAGAATCTGTATAAATGTATGTATATATGTTTGTATATAAATAGTGAAGCTAATAATGTTGTAATTTTGTTTTCATTGGAGACTTATTTATTTCAATTTAGTTGCAGTAAATACAAACTTACATACATACATACAAGGATTAACAATATCTATTGTAGAACAATGTAATTTGTCTAATAAAAAGTTTCTCATTTTTTGGATATAGGAGTCAGATATATATTTTTTAACATGCCAAGAAAGGAAAGTCCTTTCATGCTTAAGTATTTTCATTTTAAATAAAAAATAAAACATATTTATATAATTTTTTTATTGTTTTTTTTATTATTATCATTTTTCTATTTAAGTGTTAGTGGTTTTGTGGTCGATATTTTTTAACATGTCTAAAATTTATTACAAAAGTTAAAAGCATTAAAGATAATTAGTTAATATACAAGATTGTATATTAAATCACAATTGTTGAACAACTTATTGAGCAACATAGTAGAAGAGAGGTTGGGGCACAAATTGGGGTTGGAGTTGGAGACGGGCAGGAGCGGCTTTGCGCAATTTAGCGGGACGGACTGAACTTCTGCGGGCAGATGAGGTGCGACGAGCAGTTAAACGGGCGGGAGCAGCTTCTTCTTCGGCAACAGCTTCTTCTTCGGCAACAGCAACCTCTTCTTCGGCAACAGCTTGTTCTTCTTCAGCGGCAGCAACATCATCAGTTTCAACGGGAGCTTCTTCTTCTGGTGGACCATAGACTTCATCGGGTTGGTTGGGTTGTTCTTCGGCGGCAACAGCTTCATCAAAAGGTACTTCAGGTTTCAATTCATCAGCAGTGGGATAAGGAGTAACGGCAGCTGGTTCAGCAGCTTCTTGACGAGCCAAGAAACGGTTGCGTCTAGCTTGGAAGCGGGATGTGCGGGAACGGGGAGCTTCAGCGGAGCACAAAGCTACAGCCAACAAAGCGACGAAAAGGATTTGCACGAATTTAGCCATGTTAAAAAATTGATTTTTTTATTTCGTTATTTAACAAAAAGTTAATTATTGTTTAATTTGTATTGTTGAATAGACAACTGATACTGTTTAACTATTGTAAGCAACTATTTATACAAAAAAATGTTTCTTAACTTAACTTAGAATATCTAGGAATGTCTATAGCTAATTTTTGTTGTTATTTGCTTATTTCGAATTTGTTGTTCTTTTCTTTTTTAACAAAGAGACATGTTTGGCATATTTGAGATTTTTTTAAAGCTTGGGTTTATCAGGCTGTTTGTATGTATTTAAAATCGGAGGCCTAAACTTTATGGTGTTTTCGTTAAACGAGAAAATTCATAAAATTTTAAACTATTTTATGGCTTCAGCGCACGTTCATTGAACACATGCCTAAATTATAAACGTTTAATTGATATGAACTTATTCATAATTCAAAAAACATATTTGTTTATATGCTTGTTTGACCATTTATGTCTATAACAACAAAATTGCTAAGGGTTTAAATGAAAATGAATGAATTCTCATAAAAAAATTAATAATTAAAAAATGGAAATGTTTGAATTATTCAAAATCAGATATAATTATGTTTCTATACATACAAATGTAAATATGTATGTATGGGTGATTTTCAATGTACAAACGATTTAAAATATAAAACACATGTCAATGTACCTCCCCAAAATTGAGTATCATAATTATTAATCTTCAATATTATACGATAATGTTGATTGTTGCGTAAGTTATTAGATCTTTTCATTTAAATTTTCCTTATATTTATTAAAATTTCCTAATAATAGAAAAACAATAATAATAAGAAATTATTATATATTTTGAATCTGTAGAATGTCCATGTAAATGTACATACATACATATGTATGTATGTATGTGTGTACTTGCATGTAATAGAAAACCAAATGAACATAAATTGAATCTAAAAAAATTCCAAATATTTTGTTTGTATTGTTGTTTTAGTTATTGCATTATTATTGTGTTTAAAATGTTTTTTTTTTTATTTATATGTAAATGTGTGCAAATATGTGCATATTTATTCATTCGTTGGTTTCTTCGTAAACATTTATTCATGTGGTCTAATAGTTTATCCTTAAAACAAATTCTTCTTCTTCTTCATTTATTGTAGTAAAGTCCTGTTAAATTATTGTATACATTTATCAAAAACATCTTGGTTTCATTTTGTTTTCTTATTCTTCATTTTCTTCTATTTTATTTCAATACAGTAACAATAAGAAATCACAGTAAAGATAAATCTTTTTGATGTAAAACTCACACACATTTCTAACGATCTTTTGCAAATGGTCGTAACTCAAAATTTAGGTTTTTTTTAATGAATTAATGTTTTCATAAAGTAAATAAAATCTTTTATCTTTATATCAGTTGAACATTGCTCTATATTAGAATCCATCCATTTCGATTAATATTGTTTATGCAATAAGAAACAACGCATTTTTTTGAGTTATGATCCTTTTGTTATAAATACATATAAATATGTACTTGTATGTGAATGTAGACATAAAGTATGTATAAAAGAGATGAAGTATTGAGGGTGTTTTGTGTACAAAAATTTATTTTTATGTTTTTTTGTTGTGGAATAAAAAGTTGTTGCTTTAAAAATACAACAACAAAACTACTGCAACAACAGCAGCAGCTACACAAAACTGGAATGAAATTGCATTGTCATGCTAAAGCTAAACAAATTTATACTCCTCAGAGACATAATAACAATGATAATTGGATGCTTGCCAATGATATGCATTCTTTTATACATTACTATGTATTATGCGACTTTATATTTATATGTATATGTACATTTGGGTGGCCCCAAAAAAACAAAACTGTAGTTCAATTTTGAAAGCCTCCATACAAACGAGGACTCTCTAATTGTCTTATGTATTTATGTGTTTAATAATATTTATTTGATTTTTATTTTTAAAATTTTAAATTAAGAAAAACTTAAATTTTTGCGTAAATCTTTTCTCAACTGTTAAGATCTTCAGAGATTCAAATTCTGCACTTAATTTTAAACCGATTTGTAAATACAAATAATAATAAAAGACATTTTGATCAGTTCAAAAATCTATCAGTGAATACGTAAAAGGTGGTTATTAATTCTTCCTTGAATATTGCAGTCTGAAAGTAGTCCTAGGAATATGAGATCCATCCAATTCGTACCGTGCTGGTGTGTCTGCATATTTATAAAAAAATAAACAATTTTAATCACTATGCTGGAACTACAACAATAATAATAATCAAGTTCGAAAGTTTCTTGCAATAAAAAATTGAGGATCTATTATTAAATAGAATTTATTTAATTGAAATTTAACTTTAAATTTATTTCACTGTGCTGAGTACAATAATTTTTCAGTTTATATTAAAACAGATGGAAGTGTTGATTGTGTGAAAAAATAACGGTTTTTATTTACTCCAACTCGCACATCAAAGTCAACAGCTTCTGTTGTTGACTTTTCTGACAATATGACTTATAGAAAACCTTGCGACTTTTGCACTATGACTTAACCGAACTGCAGTGTGATTCTGCAAGTGATACCAATGAAATGACAACAAAAGAAAATATTAAAGATTGTTTTTGGTTTAAACGAACGAAACACTAGCCACAAGTTTTAAAAATGTTAAATGATGAACGCTAAGTATCACTGAATATAAACCCATTTCTTCCTTTAACATTACTTTCCAAAAGTGTTTGTGTGAATTCTTGTAAACACACAGATACCTTCACAAAATATACACATACGATATCCACGTTTGAGTTATCATTTGCCATCTGAATATGACCCCATGCACAATTTGAGAATGTTTTCGTCCTATAGTTTCTTTCAATTAATGGGGCTGTTGAAAAAGTGTTAACACATTTTCGCCACATTGCCAATATTTTCAGCACTTTTGTAGATTTGCACATGTAATGAACCTTGACATCTTTTTGTTACTATATTACCTAGCTTCCAGTTGTGTGCAAGTCCTTGTAAATAATTATATAGGTGCATACAACTGCATTTAGTTAACCCATGAAAATGAATTATTATTTGTAAACATTTTTTATTATCGTTATCTTTTAAAATCGATCTAACATAAATCATTAAGAAATCGAAAATTTTAAAATTTTTATATTATTGTATTCGTTTTTATTAATAATTTTTATACATCTAATAATAATGTTATTAAATATTCGTTACCTAAGAGCTAAAAATTAAAATACTGTTGAAAAGTTTTAACAAAAATAAAACGAAAAATCTTTTTAGAGAAAAAAGCGCATTACTCTACTTTAGATCAGAATTACCAACTTTGTACATAGTTAATTAGTAAGGTGTCATCCAAACTAGAAGGTACGATTTCTACCGATTGAACAATCGGCTGCAGATGTAATTCGCTATCAACATCGGTGTATGAACCTTCCAAGACCTCTGACTCCACTAGAACATAATCGGCTTCTGTTTCTTCTAAGACAACGGAACCAAGATTTGAGTTTAATGTTTCTTTTGGCTGATCGTCTACAACTATTGTGGAACTCTGTTCAGTTGTTTTGCTGTTGTCTGCATAGAGGGTGTCATTGATTGGATATAATTTGGTTATTTTTTCCATAGCTGGCAAGTCCTCTGTAACACTTTCGGTACTTGTTTTTTGTTCGGACTTTACATCATCTTTTGTTTGCAAATCACTTTGAGTTGTTTGTTCTTCTTCCATGTTTAATAGCGTTGTAGTCTCTTCATTTAGCGAGTCCACGGTGGTAGTCTCTATGGCGCTTTGTGAAACATTTTCTACCGTTTCATTTTCTTCTTCAGATTCCTCCAGATTTTCTTCGGGTTGTTTGGTTTTTTCTGCAATTTTTTGAGTGCTTAATAACAGAAGTTTGCCAGATTTTTCAATTTGAACCGTCTCTGCTTCTGTTTTAATTAATTCAGCCGGCGCTGGATCTAATAAAGTTTGATCCACAAGTAATATGGTGGCTTCCTCATCCCTACTAAGAGCACCAAAACTCTCCGTTGTTGTGGTAGTAAGATCATCTTCTTTAATGGTTGTCAACTCTGGTTCCATAGTAGTAGACATATCATCTATTGAAACAGTAGTTGTTTCCAACATATTAGTGTCCTTATCCGATGTTCTAATTACAGCAGCTTGTGTGACAATTCCACACACCGCAAGGATCACAAAAGTTGTTTTGAACATTGTGTTTTTTATTGTTGTATATATTTTTTTTTAACAGTAGTTAATTTTGTAAAGAGATTTTGAAAACTAAACTAAACTTTCAACACTATCATTATTATATATAGTAAAATTTAAATAAAACAAAACACAAACATACAATCATTTGTACTTTTCAGAATGTTCTATCCGTTCGATGGCTTCTTGCCAATATGTAGTTTATTATTTACTGACCCTGAATATGACCAAAATTGTCTGTTTATTTACCTGGTTGATACAAATATTTTCCAGTGCGCCAGTATACACGGAAGTCGGAAATGTATTTATGTAAGTAAAGTGAATCATTTTACTTTTATTTATTAATTAAATTTAATTAAATTATGGTCATCGACAATAAATAACAACACAAAAATCAACCAAAACCCACAAAACAATTCAACGCACTTAAGTTCATTACACGTATTCAATATAAAAATTGAACCTTTGTTGCAGATCTCTAAATTAATGAAATGATTAAGTGATGTTTTTGTTTCTACTACAAATTGTATATAGTTTGCCTTGCTTGATGCAACATTTGTAATAGTTGGAGTTAAATTTATATAGATCAATTTAAATTTTATTTTCCGCATACTATATCTTTAGATTGTTTAGGATTTTGAAATTTGAAGATAATTTAATTTCATAGTTTTATGTCATGACGAAATTTACTGGATTACTAATCGGGAAAAGAGTCGAAAATTTTATCTGAAAAAAATCAATGCTTTTACTCTTTTAAATCTACTGCAGCTAAATTAAGTTTGATGTTATCGTTGCTGGCTTTTTTTCTCACCATCGGTCACCTTATAAAACGCACGTTTACATACATTTATAGATACGTACATACAAGCGACTATTTTTAATATGTGTGTTTGTATGTAAGTATGATTATACGAATATTAGTTTATTTATTTAATATGATTCATATGTTATGCTATGCACGTTCAAACATGTTGCCAACTGAAAATGTTGTGTGAATTGTTTTTTTTTGTCATCTTTCCGATTTTCTTCTCTTTTAATATTATTTTTAGAATTGACAAAAATTCATATAATTATTTATTCCATATTTATTTTAGTGGGAATCCCAACTTGGTATAGAAAAAGTATTCTATTCCTTTCAGTTGCGTAGTAAAGGGTACTAGAACTTGCCTGATGTTGGTACATCATGCCAAATATGGGTATAGCGTTCACAATACTCTCAAATGATAGACAAGTAAACAAACAATCAAGACAATCATACATACATACAGACGTACATACAAATATTTAGTCAGCTGGTGAATAAACGAATGAATAGGGAAAGATATTGTTAGAGTTAGTCAGATATCCTTGCACCATTTGCCTATATATGCATGTATGTATTTCTATTTAACAAACATGCAAAGCCACAACATGCCAACTTGGCAGCAGTAGCAGACATGAGTGTTTGTTTTAGTTGCAGAAATATCAAATGGTGACGTTGCTGATGCATACAGCAGCCTTCAAACAGTGAAAGAGAGAAGGCTAGAGGAATTCATTTTGTTAAGGATTCACATTAATACCAGTTGACCGATTTGCTTTTATGCAACACTGGTCTTAAAACTTCCAACACATGGTATAAAATACCAACAGACATACTAGCCAACCAAATAACGTTTTAACTTACGTGGTTTAACATTTAAATAGATCTTTAAATGTATGCCTCAAATTGTTGCTGTATTCAGCATATTCTTATATATTTGAAATGTATATAATTTGGATTTAAAGTGTAGGTTTTGTTTTGAAAAGACAGTTTGTTTGTTTTTTTGGAAAAGTATATTGTAAATAATTATTTTTTAATACTTTTAAAGTTCTGCAATTTTCAGAACACCAAAGTACGTATGCATATACTAGCAGGAATATTAGAATAGTTCTTTAAACATTCTGCTTCATTCAATTTAATTTTGTTTATAACATTTTAAGTGTTAATTTCCATTATGTGAAAATAAAACTAAATTTTTTTTTGAGGTCACCTTAATGTACATACATATATAGGTACGAATGTATCAGTCTATATGTACATATGTGTGTAACCTTAACGAAGTTTAAAGTTGTTTATGCATTCATGCGTTAAACTTCAACATCATGCTTCAACGTTGATTGTATAAATTTTCATCTGCAGAGAGACAGAGTTTGTTGTTGAAATTCATGAATTTCTTTATGACTTTTAGTAAATGCATTAGATTTGAATTTTGTTTATTTATTTAAAATCAAAGTTTTTTGCATTATTTTTTTACTTTTCACATTATTTAACTGCAGTTCTTAACAAATTAACAAAATTAACTAACACAACAGAAAGTATATTTCTGTTGAATACCACTGCGTATGATAAATATGTTGAAGTACAGATTTGAAATTGAACTAGTTTAACACTCATACGCCTGCAGCATCTCTAATCAGTGTTAAAACTGAATAAAACAAAAGTAAACAAATAAAACGGAATAACCATTAATACAAACCTTTTTTGAAATCTTACGAAAATAAAAACAAATATTTAAAACAAGTTTAAGTTAAGTTTTACATATTTATTGGTTTCAAAATTATTCAATTAATTAATTTCGTTTAAAATTGCCAATGAATGATTTTGTGAGGAATGAGTTTTTCCAACTTTTGCAAACATAATTTTTCATTAATACCAAATCCATAATAAAACTAACATATGAATATCATATGACAATGGATGGGATGAGCCCTAAGAAAATAAAATTTACAATGACTATTTATGTTCTTTGTTTTCATTTTATTTAATAATATTAAATATTTTTTTTATTGCACAGTAATTAGAAAAGAAAATTTCAATACACACACTTGTATTATACAGATAAGTTTTACTGGGAATGGCCAACAGGCTTAATAACTTAAAATTTTTTAAATGTGGTCTTATTTTGTTGTGTATTTCAAAAAAAATCTATAAAACTTGATAATTAGTAAATAAATCAAAGTAATTTTTACGTACTACAATTATACAATTTTATTATTAATTATTTAGTTTTTGTTTATATTAATATTTTTTTTCATGTGTAATTAGTTTTAATTAACATTAGTCGATTCAAATCGGATTTTTGATATTTTTGTATTTATGAAGAATGTTTTGGTTTTTTAGTATTATTATATTTTTGTAGAATAAAAAAGTTTATTAAGAATATTTTAAGAGTATTTAATTTATTAGTTTATGTAATTATGGTTGGTTATATAAATGTATGTATAAGTATGTGTGTATTTATTTAGTTTTGATAGAATGTACTATTTATATGTATATATCTGTGTTTTTATATATGAGTATGTATTTATGTATGAATTAATGTACTTACAATGTTAAATGTATGAATCTTGTATAAACTACGAGTACAACTAACTTATAAAAAATCTCTGTACGTATGTATGTATGACTGTATGTATAAATATGTGTCAGTATTTGTGTGTTTGGAATTTTATGCTGATTGTGTGTGGGATATTTTTGTTTGTCTGCGGGGATAAATGCGGTAGTGGCCCCAAAAACAAATAGAAATGGCTTATTTCAATTTTAACATTTTACAGAATTGTTTTTAAAAATTCTTTCAGTAATATAGATAATAATTACATGAAATAATTACACGTTAAAGTTTAGTGCTAATTAATTGACCACAGCTATACCAAATTAGGTTTATGGAAATTAAATATAAATAATTGAATTTCAGGACATACATATAGACATATACATACGTATGTGTATGAATTTTTTATTAAAATATATAATAATGTTCTTAAAAAAGCTCACAATGGAGTACTAAATATTAAATAAATGTTCAATAAATTTATCATAATTAATCAATTAATTTTTGTGGAATTAAAAACAAATTATATGAAGTTATGTATGTATTCTTAGTAACCAGGATATGTATAAAGGGGTTTTTTGTTATTTTTTCGGGGTTTTATATTTTAGGAAGCTCCATTAATTTGAAATGTTTAGATTTTATTTTAGAAATTTTACATATGTATGTTTTATGCTACTTAGTATGGGGACTTTTTTTGAATTTCTTTTTACGCTTTTTTTTAAGTAATACGTTTTACTCTATTTAACTAAATTATTTTTCAATTATTGTTAAAGTATGAAATTACAAAAATTCTTCATCTTCTTCTGTTTTCCATTATTTCTTAAATATTTCACTAAATACCTTGTGTATATAAATGTGATGTCCTTCATCTGGTGCATTCCTTCACTTCTAATGCGTTAAATTCAAAGTAAATATTTCTTTTATTGATTTTTGCTTTTAAACTATATTATGAACTTTGGCCGACAGACAATTGTGCAGTACAAATACTACGGGTTTGGGGCAACATTCCATGTCTAATTCCTGTTTTAAATACAACAAAAATATAAAATAATAAAACTTAATTGAGTAATCATTTAGGAATGTTAAAAGTTAAATAGAAAATAATACACAAAAATGAACTTACAATTTCACCATCATCGCCAAAATCCAAATATAACATACGATTGCCATCGTCAGCGGAACCACGCAATTTATCAAAAGGAAATTGCCACAATTGTGTTTTAGCTTGAGCGGGTGCCGTATAACCGCACTCATAAAGACAAAAACCACGATTTAAATGCACAACCAATTGACACTGTCTGCCTTGATACAAGCAGCGAAATGAAAATTCACGCTGATAGTTGACCGCATTATGTGAACCTTGAACTAATGCTCTAGCCCAGGCAGCCATATCACGGTGGGTTTCCGAGCGCAGCCAATAAACTAAAACTCCCCGTGTAGTGCCACAACGTACACAAAACACAGTTGACTGTTGTCCCTGTTTCGTTTCAATTGAAATCATTTAACAATGAGAAAAATAATAATAATAAAAAAATACAGACAAAGAAACAAAAAGAAAAATTATACAAAGTCATTATTTCATGTTGCTAATTTTTTGCTCATTTACTTACATTTAAAGATGAATTATTACCCGCGCCTGCTAAACGAGTAGTGGCTAAGGCAAAACTTTCTAAAGGCCGACCCCAAGCTTCCACCGACCATGGAGCACTTTCATAGATTCTATGAAAAAGAAAATTAATATATTCTTTAGTAAACCAAACTATAAAAACATACACATAGTTATTCTTTAAAATAGATTAAAAAAATAGATTTCAATATACATTAAAACACTTTATTAATTGAATATTTTTCAGGCTCGAGTTCAAGTCCCACTTGGGGATATTTTTTTTCCCCAAATTGCAGTGATATTTTATTTAGTTTAAACCATTTAAATACTTAAGAAACTAAATTTGTCATTGATTGCTCACTTTACTATAGGAATCTGTTTATTGACTTCATAAGAAAGAAATTTCTTTTCATAAGATCTATTGAAAAAAGTTTAACTTTTAAACATATTTTAAATTCTGACCTAAGTACAGTAATATCTAAAGTTTGAGGAGTATTCCTACTCTTATGTTCACATATTCAAATGATTTAACAGAACACCCTAATATCTTTGCAGCAGATTCCTTAAAAAAAGACTATAAATTATAATTTCAAATCTTAAACAGAACATACAGACATACATGGAGTAAATAAGTAATTTCCAGCAAGACAAATAAAGCTACAAAACACACAAACATTGAAATAAAGAGGGAAACAAACATACCGCAATTCACGTTCAGTTACAGACACAAATATAGGTTGCCATTTATCGTTTTCATCAGAGCTCTCCGAACTCGAACGACCACTTGGCTAGAGAATATATTTATAAGAAGGAAATAAAATAATATTACGTTTCATAAAGTTGTAACATAAAAATTAAGTCGTAAAAAGTGTAATTTCATAACTTACCACTTCACCAGCACTGCCAACACTTGTTGTAGTACCCGTCATAGGATTAGTGGCACCAACTGCAGTAGCATTGCTGCCATTGCCTCCTCCACCTCCTGCCACTACACCCCCACCGCTACTACTGCCGTTGCTTAAACGTCTGCTCAGCCATCCGATGTGTTTCAGTTCACCAATGACATTTATTAAAGCCCGATTGGCCTCCACTAAAGCACGTTGAGTAGAGCCACTCATTGCGCTGTGTAAGGCATTAAACCATACTAATGCTTCCGCCGAGTCTGAAGCGCGCAATATGCACGAATGTACACCATCAGGTGAATGTAGTTCCAGACAACGATTTTCTGTAAACGAGACAAGAGCAACAAGGTATCCACAATATAAATACATTTACACAAACACACATACACATACACATACAAATACAATGTATTTATATAATGTTAAAGTGGAATTTATACCGAACATGAAAAACTGTACTTGTACATAAAATATTTAAATCGTCTACGTCATCATCTTGATTTTCATTGTTGCAAGCAACTACCAAATTATTACAGGCTAAAACTCCTACTAGCGAACAGCGTTACATTTCTTCTTGCTTCAACTGACTACATACATACATATAAAAAACTACATGTATTTTTTATTCTCCTATACAAAAACGTACTTATCAAACCCAGATGTTGTTTGGTAACTTAAGTACGTTAGTATTTTACAGTCAAATTACAAGCTGTTTCGCGATTGAAAAACTTATTTTACACTGGCTTATGTAAATGTGTTGACTGCTACTCCCACACAGTGTCATTTGACTGCAGTTCTGATAGAAAGTAGATTTTCAAATTTTCTCTTTACTTGTACAAATTCACACTGAAGATATGAACAATTCTATAATGAAAATTTAACACACATTTGCCATCGAAAGTTTTTGCATACGTCAAGTTTATTGGGGAAATATTCCACTGCCGCTTCTATACACATGTGTACTTTTGGTATTAATTAAGTTTTCTAGTTGCAAAATCGTTCTTTTTCTTCTCTTTTTCCCCACTCCACTCTACTCCAACTAGAAAAGTGTTAAATGAAGCATAATTTTGAGGGAAAAAACGCTACAATTACTCTGTAAACTAACAAAATTATTACATATACAGTGTCGGTGAAAAGTATCTGAATATAAGCTATGTATTAGTTAATACAAAATATAATTAGCATTTGTATAGATTTTGTACAGTCAGTTTTCGTTGACACTGTAACTATGTACAACAAACACATACTAACAAACTTTCGCATGTTTGTTGGAAAATAAATGTATAAAATGAACAAATGTACTAACATTTGTATCCTTCTAGATAGGAATAAAAAAAAAACAAACAACTGTAAAAACTAGTGGGAGTGAAAGGATATTTTAATTCATCTGCTGCTGCTGCACTAGTGATGATGATAGTAATTTTCTATCTACATTTATACATACATGTGTTTATTAGACGTGTATAGAACGATGTTTATGTTTTTCAAACTTAAATTAAGTTTAAACTTTTTACACAACAACCACAATAATAATAATAACAATAATTTACTTTAGCACAGACAGTGAAAATATTTATGTTGAGTCTTATGTGAAATTTCAAATATTATTGGAATATGCTACAAACTGTATGATAAGTTGAACAAATACATTCTTACTTACATACATACATATTTATATATGTATATTCCAAACTTGTTTAACTATATTTTGAAAATAAATTTTGTTGTCACCTGACAAAGATTTGCGGAAAAGTAAACGAGTAATTACTAGATCCTAATATATTCGCAATCAACAACTCATGAAATTTTATTTCAATTAAGTTTCTGCACTCTAATTGCAACTTTAGTATTTCAACAAAAAACATTTAAATGTACACGTTATTACAGTTTATAAAATATTTATATTCCGACACGTTCAGACAAATATCTTCCTTTTATATTTCCTCAAATTGGTAGATACAATATTACCAAAGGCAAAAGTTTTCTAATATTAAAAACTTTCCTATTTTTTTTTTTTTTTTTGTTTGAGTTTTACATCCTGGAATCGTTGATAGAAATAGTTATATTTATATTCAAAAGTTGTGTCTTTATAGCGTGAGATTTATACTTAGAATTAGTAATTTGTAAAAACTTTACAAACGATTTAATTAAATTTGATTTTCCTGATTTACTAACCTGGATCGATGTATTTCAAGTTACGAGCCAAATGTGTTAATTGCAATGGTATGTAGCGGGTATCGGCTCTTGGTGTAGTCTTTGGTGCAGGAGGTGACGCTGATACGCCGGGTCCTAATGGGCATAAAAATGCTCGTTGTAATTCCCAGCCAACTTCCGAAATAATGCTGGCCTTTCTAAAGTACGGTGTAACTTCGCGCAAAAATTTTACTGTAAAAATTAAACATTTGATATAATATTAAGGTTTCATTTTCATAAAAACTAGTTCATCAGCTTAGTTTTTTTTTTTTTGTTGTATTCCACAAAATATATTTATTTGCCTTATTTAATAATGATAAAAATAAAGAAATAATCAGAATGGAATATTTATTTTATTCAAATCTGGTTTACTATTAATAATATGTCAATATTTTTGTTCGAATATGATTTGCACAGTCACAAGTCCAAATATTTGTTAAAAAATCAATCGCTGCTTTAAGCACATATGTTTGTATGTATGTTGTTGTTTTTTTATAAAGCATTTATTACTCAATTAAAACTATTGTGAATAATTATCTAAAAATTTTTAATATTCTTTCCATTATCTATATGAAATTCTATTATCTTTTAAATTTTTCCATTAAATGGTTTATTTAATGAAGTCTTACAAAAAAATGCTCATATTATTTAAACTCTTGTTAGTAGAAATTTTTATTATTAAAACATTATTATTCTAAATTTGCGATATTGCAGCAAGTTTATATACCCTTCACCTGTGAGAAGGTTATACATAAGTTTGTCATTCCGTTTGTAATTTCTGTGAGAAAATTTTCCGGACCTATGAAGTATATATATTCTGGATTCTTATAGATAGTAGAGCCAATTTAGCCAGGTCCGTCTGTCAGGTTGTCTGTCTATTTGTTAAAATTAATTTTCTGAAGATCCCAAATATTTTCCATATCCGAATGTATTGTTATTAACTTTTTTAACACACTATGGAGAAGGGTATATGAGATTCGTCATATTCGAATATAAATCTTTTATTTGTTTTTTTTTTTTAATAAAAATTCATACACCGGTTATTAAAATTAATTAAACAATTGATTACTCTAGTATCTATGTATATGTATGTAAAAAAAACAATAATATAAAATATATAACACGTTTTAAATCTCTAAAATTAAATATAATTCTATTTTTAGTTTTGTTTATTGCGGCATTTTAATAAATAAGTAACAACTGGTCAGTAATTACTTTGCAAATATTTGTTTATAATCACTTTAATATAAAAAATAATAATAATAATAATAAAAAACAAAACCTCTCTCCTTGCTTAATAACAATCAAATAACAACAACGACAAACTGAAAATAAAAAGAAGTTGTAACTATAAAACTGTAGACGATGACAAACCTATAAGGATGTTTAAACAAGAACGATGTTGACAAATAAAACGGTAAATGTTAACTTGTAAATTCATTATGCTTTCCGCTCAACTTCCCTTAACAATATTAGAAGCACCAACAAATACTATTGCATTTAAACTAAATTTGTACAATTTGCAGTCTTGGCAGCAAAATTGAACAGCAAAAAAAGAAAAAAGTGATATGTGTATGTGGTACCGAGAAATAGAACTTGAAAAAAATATATATAAACTGTTTGACATGGAAAATTGATACTTTCCGCTTTATTTTATATTGCATAACATTCACACTTATATACAAATTTCCTTTACATGCAGCGTTTGGACTAATTAGACCAAAAAAGTAAATCTTTTAATCATAAAAAAAATTTATGTTTTTCTTCAGGCCCGATAATGGCCTAGGCGTATTTCTTCGGAATTGATGTAGATACATCCTCCTATCAACCTAACTTAAACTTCCAAATAAAATCCCAAAAGCTTTGAAATTAAGTTTAATCAAAATTCCTATTTTTGCATACTTAATATTTAATTTTACTAATAATACTCATACGTGCTGGTAGACTTTTACAAGCATTTTATAAAACGAAACTTACTGGGAAATTTTAGAATAGAATACATTTAAAAGCTTATTTAAAAATATATTTTAATACGATGTTATTGTTAAAAGGCTATAACCCTAATGTGTTCACATTGCACTTTTTAGGTTTTTTATTTTATTTTGCTGAATTTATATTTTATTTTACTTTTGTCCTTCTTTCCGTTCTATTTTAGTTTTTGTTAATGTTTTTCAACTAGTAGCAGTAGCACCAACTGCAACAATACGTCCTCTTCCCTTTAACAACTGACAATAACAAATGCTAAGTAAACAGTTTTTGCTTTTCGTATCTTCAAATTCTAATCCTAAGCTAACAAAAAAAAATAATCTACCAAATAGTACAACAGCTAAGTACAATCGCAGTCGTAGTACCAGCAAAAACATATTTAAATAACATATATTTACATAAATACTTATCGAAGTAACAATAATAGCACATTTTTTTTTGTTCAGCTGCGAACAAACGTGTTGAATGATTGCAGTTTTGTGCAACGCATCTCTTTAATACATGTCAAACTGAAGTGGCACAAAGAACTGCCAGGATTAAACCAATATTTTTTTATAAAAAGAAACATATTTTTCCAGAGTATTTCAAAAAATAGGATCAATTTTTACATAAAGGTCAAAAGTCCTTCGATTTTAGTTATTTTTACGTGCAAACATTATTTTTTAAACTTTTTAAAAACTTGTATAAATATTAATAATGAATTTAATACAACAAAATTTTCATATTTATTTTTTCTTTAAATTTCAGCAAAATGTAAACAGTGTGAACGTGTTTGGGGAAGTGGATGAGGATATGAATTTCCAACTTATTCCCTTGTAAAAGTTGACAAATACATAATGTACGAGGAACTAAGTATGTAAGTAAATAAGTATTTTAAGTTAAAACTAGACGAACATTACGAATATAAATAAGTAAAGATGAAAATAAATGATGGTGGGGTGAAAAACTTTGGTTAAGTTCGGTTTGGCTAATGGACTTTTGAACGTTTTATGGTTTGGTTAAAGTCATTTGAACTTTTATTTACGTGTGTGTATATATTTATGAGGGCGTGTGTTTATATACGTATGCACTTATAAGTAGCGTAAGTCTTTATATTGAAAGCTGTTTGAAAGAAAACTCTCAATGCCAATATTTATATTCTTGGCCCACAAACAATCTCACAACTCAATATGTTCGAATGTTCCGATGTACACAAGTAAGATGCAAAAGTTAAGTGCAAGAAGTTTGAAAGCAAAACGAAAGCAAAAATACATAGAATATCAAATACTGTGGAATCAAATGTCAACAACACACTTTCAAAAGGAAACAATTTCTGTACATTTGCAAACTCCTTCATATTATGCTTATGATTATTGTTGTAGAAAGTAAAAGACAAACTCCCACACTACTAGATTCATATGGACAAAATCAATAAATGGTCAAAAACAGAATCACATATTTTCCAACTAGAAACATTTTTCTTATTTAAAATGTCATCTGAAAGCGTTTTAAAGTTTTTTTTTTTTTTTGAAGATTAATTTTTGAATATCTATCTTAATATTTGTATGATAAATTTTATTCTCAGTATGAATAATAAATTGTCAAAAGTCAAAGTGTATATAAACTATTTTAGTTTTATTCAATTTATACACTTTACTATACATCAAGATAAATTTTTCAAGATTATCAATCATCAATCAGTCATTGAAATCAATACATTTTCAGTGAAAGTGAATGAAAAACCGAAAAACTCCCCAAAAAAAATTATCAAAATTATTTAACATCAAATTAAAATGTATTTTTTTACCTGTTTTCAAACAAAGAATTATGCTTTTAAATTAAAGTAAAACTGAAATTCGTTTTAGAAATAATAAGATTTTATTTCGGTTTCAACAACAACAAAATAAGTATAAAAAATCAACAATATTAACCTACAACTTTAACAAACGGCCATTTTTACGCTGGGCACGTTTTGGTTGATTGGACACTAAACGGCCTAAATATAAATTATTTTCAATGGGTAAAATTACCAAGCGTCCGGTTTTCGAGCGGGTGAGACGACTAAGAATTTCGAGTTGTTGTTCAACTTCAGCCAATTCGGATTCGATTTCATTCTCTTCGTCAAGCTCTGTTCTAGGAGCGCCATAAGTATCGGCAGGTTCATGAATGTCCAACTCAGATGCTGGGGCAAGTTCACTTTCGGCCGATCCTTCTTCTTCTATGGCTTCAATATCGACTTCCTCTACTTGTTGTTGCTCGTCATCTACAGTTTCAGCTACATTGTTTTGTTCCATTTCACTTTCTTGTTCTACGGTTTCAACATCAGTCTTTGGTTCATTTAATTCCACTTCAGGAACGCCATAGGTATTAGCAGGTAATTGCTGATCGATATCTTCTAAATCTTGCGCTTCTGAGGTTTGCTCAAGGGTAGGAAGATCAGCAATAACATCACCAGTATTATTATCAATAACATCAAAAGCGGAAGAGAAATCCTTGCTGGGTTCTTCGCTAGGGGGTTGAAAGTCCTCAGCTGGTGCGGGTACTACTTCAGCTTCAACTTCTACAGCATCGTCTGTTGTGGGCAAGGGAGCACCATATGTATCTGCTGGCGTATGATCGACAACATCGGGTTTAACAGTTGTGGGTACAATTTCATCGAAATCCTCTAAAGTCGATTCAGCTGGAGTGGTAGTTATGATTTCAACTGATTCAGTGACAGGCACAGGTTTTTCATTGGGCAATTCGAATGGTATCTTTGGGCGGAAACCAGCTTCTGGATAACCGGTCTTTTGCTCCACTGGCGATGATGGCGTGGTAAATTCAATTTGTCTTGCCGATTTAGCTTTCGACCTCTTTATGGGTGTTGCCAAAGTGCAGCTAATAGCCAAAGCTACTACTAAAATTTGTAATCCTCTTGAGATGACCATATTGAATTCAATAAATTTGAAATGAAACTGTTGTTGATTAAACTATCAACAAAAGCTTTTATAGTTAAACTTAACTTTTTTTTACTCTAGTACATATATTGGCGAAAAAATTTTAACAAAAACAAAAATTGCCAAAATTGTACATACAAATGTTCATCTGTACATACAATGTAGACATGAATGATCTATGTATGTATGTACATAGACAAGTATGTTAATTTACTACATATTGAACACACTAATAACCTATAAATTGATCAAGAATTCAATTCTGGTTAAAATCAAGGCGATTCGAACTCAAAAAAAATGACGCGTTTAAACGCATTTTTGTTTTAATTCCATTGTGATCTCGACAAAAAAATTCTTCATTCATACTGAGTCACTCGTAAAAAACACGATCATCAATGTACATTGAGGACTGAATGAGTGAGTAGTACACATAAATACTACATCCACAACAACAAACAATAGCAAACACCTTTAGTATTCAATGTTGAATTTTAATTTGTAATAAATGATAATCATTTTAAAAGCACTTGTCAGTGTGTATGAACATACAAATGTATACAACAACAAGATCAACTCTATGCAACAAACATACTTCAAAAAACAATTTTTATCGGAAAACAACAATAATCATGGTTTTTAGTTGCAGTATTCTATGCCACTCACGTACCAAGATTTATTTATTTTTTTATATCGTATACGACTGAGTACTTTGGCTCTGACCTGTTCTGTTCTGTCCTGCTTTAATCTACTGTTCTGTGATATGTTCTTTTTTTATTTTGTTTGGTTTTTTAAATTATTTATAATTGTCCGCTTTTGTTTAAAATAGTAATATTTTAGACCAGGATAACTTTAAGTTTAATATAATATTTTTAATAATTTATTTTGTGATCTCAAAAACGAAATTTAGTATGCACTCATAATATTCTTAATTAAAAATTAAAATATTAATGTAAAATTTTAGCACTTACCTTCTAAATCAACCACGCGTCCAGCTCTTTTTAATGCTCTAACCGCCTCGTCGTGTGTAGCTTCTCGCAATTCTTCTCCGTTAACGGAAAGAATAGCATCGCCCACATAGAGTCCCTTGGCTTGATCTGCGGCCATGCCACGAAAAATTTTTGATATTAATATTGGCATACGATTTTCACGACCGCCTTTAATAGATATACCTAGACCATTATTTTCGGATTTTATAATGCGCACCTACAGGATTGAAATAATAAATTTTAGTTTATTTATATATGTAATATGAATAACTTCCTATCGCAAAAATACAAAAACAAACATTTTACTTTTTTTATGGAATTTGTATTCAACTTACGTGTCTCTTTTGATTTGCCACATGATCAGGTACATCACACATATCCATGCCACTATCTAAAGTATTGTTATTTAGCAAATGGTCGCAATTATCCGTTACATCTATATCATTAGTATTGCTGCCACCACCACCACTTTGGCCCATGCCCTGCATGGAAGCAGAAGATGGAATGGAGCCATTATGTCCACTATGATTACTCCTAAATGATTCAAGAATAATTTGGGGGATTTATAAAGGCTTAATACTTAATGACCTATCTTTAAATAAACATACCCTAAAGTACCATTTAGTGTGGTCGATTGATCACCCGATCCAGCATTTTCACACGTCTCATCGAGGCTAATGGCCAAATAATCTGTTTCTAAAGTAACTAATACGCGATACCAAGCTCCACGCACGCGGGTCTCCAATGTACCGCAACGCATGCCGGAGGGTGATTGTGTGGGTAATGGCTGAACTGGAGCATTGTTCAATGTTCTGCCCAAGCTCGATGACTCCACCATAATACCGTCAACTTTTAGTTTGTCAGTAAGATAGAACTTCAAATATTTACGTGTGTAAAAAAAGGTCTCAAATGAAGTAAATCGGGAATTATTTAAAATGCATATTGCCGCAATGTTTTACTAATGCATGAGTTCTTCTAGAAAGGAAAGAAATAAATATTCTTAGATGTCTTATAAATTAATAAGATGCTTTGTTTTCTGCCAGGTGTAATCAACAAGTGAGAAAAATGTCAACTTTGTATTTTTCTAATTATGTAAAATGATGTCAAAAGGCTTGTAGTCGTGATATTTGTTGTATTGATTCTAATACTAAGATAATTTTTGATTATTTGATGTTTATTATATGTATTCCCTACAACTTGATAAAATAATATAAAAACATGTTTTGAAAAATGTGAAGATTGATTAGTCCTCCTAAGCTACATCTAATTGCCTAGAAAAAATTATATTCCATGGATATTATGCTCAATAATGTAAAAAGGGTATTATAATTAACTATGTTCTTTGTAATACTCTTTAATATAGTTGGACATACAAATAAAATCCCTCCTATGACAAACAAGACTGTATGAAGATTCCTAAATTGATCTATATTTATACTATATATCTGCTTAATACCTTTTAAACAATCTGTATTATAGATACTTATCAGCTTTTAAATGGTTTATGTAAGGTGTATTATTTTAAAAGAGCAGGTCTAATATACCCATAAACATAAATACATACATACATATGTATGTAGATGTTTGCTCAAACTGCAGTGGTTCCTGTTGTTTTTACATGTACTTATGTATACTGAAACCCAGCAAAATATTTCAATCTCATATGTATTTACATATTTGTAATTGTAGTCCTAAACCATGATGAAGGTTATAAATATGTATGTGTGCATATTAAACTGGCTTTCAAATGATACCATATATTTTATATTTTGTTTAACAAAAAACTCTTGTAACCCGGTCCAGCTCCTGATCAAAATTTTTTTGAATCTGAATAAAAATTTTACTTGAACATGGAACATCTCGTGTCTCCTCAGGAAATTTTCTTGAAAAATTGTATCGTAAAATACACAAACATACGCACCCACTTATGTACAAATAAATGTCAAATTGTTCGTTGGGTTTTTTTTGCACTTCAGACTATGCTGTTAATTGCAAGAACACACAAAGTCATAGCCTTCTTCATCACCATCATCCGTCATAGATGCAACAACAATAACACATAGTCATTATATTTTGCAGACAATTAATATACATGTTAGATACATACAAATGTATCTAACTATATATTTACTTATTTGAAGTAGCGTAGAGCAAAAAAAATTAAACATTTCATTCATCTTAAAGAAAAGTTAACACCGATATAAAAAGAATACTCTAGGCAAATGTGATGAACATTAAAAAAGGGAAGATTTTAATGGGTAAACTGTACATATGCAAAATAAAAACAATTAACAATAAATTTATTTGTATTATACACAATTTCAACAAATTCGTATATTTATCATAAATCAAAATATAATTGATCATTTTAGACAACATCTACATTTGACTTTAATTTTTAAATTCATACAGATATACAAATATGAACATACATATGTACATATATGTATGTGGTATATCCCAGAAATTTAAAAAATGTTCGCCAAAGAAATGGCGTGTAAAAATCCGGCTACCGGAATGCATAATATAAAATATATGTATGTATGTACATTCGTATATATCAAGGTATGTGTCTATATGTACATATATACATAGATATTTTTGTTATACGCTTTACATTACCATACAGCTTTAGAAGCAATTAATGGAAATAAAAGTGTAGTGTAAAATACATACCGCCATACAAGTGTAGCGCAGTGTAGTGTATAATAATGCATACTTTCACGCTAAATTACGCATACAACTACAATTCAACGTGACACCTAACCAAACAAACACCCAACCACCCACTTTCATTGTTACTATTAGACTATTAAGGAAGAACTAGCTTGCATTCCACAGACATCTTGAATGAAAAGCTCATAAGGTCGTAGTAAATAAAGAGAAAAACATCCCGTAGTTGAAAAAGATAAAGAGCACAAGAAAGAGAACAAAATCCTAATGAAGGGTGACTTGAGGAAAATCTATTTATTACTAATAGGGGTTGTTATTTGTATTTTTTCTTTTCTTTTTTTTTTTTTTCTTTGGCGACATTAAAATTTTTATTGCAAATTTTATGAAAATTTTCGTAGAAATTACCTTTTATTACATTTTTATTCAATATTGAATATTTGTTTTTATTTATAATAGCATTTAATATATTTTTAAATTATTAAGAACATTTATTATATTATTGAACAATTCTATTTTTGTTATTACAAGTAAAAACATTTATTTAATTTCTCACACACTATGAAATGCCAGACAGTGAATTTTTTTAAGTGGCCGTATTTTTTTTGTAATAATTTTTAATTTATTTCAATTTTAATTTTTTGTTATATTTATAATTAAGAACTAAGCTTTAAACTTGTTTTTTTTTTGTTTCTTTGTTTAATTTCACAATAATGGTGCACAAATTTTAATTCGTTTTTTAATTACTTCATTTTATAATATTTATTATATTATTTTTTATAAAAGTATCCCGTTTTGAACGTTTGTTAATTCGTATCGTATCGTTCTTTTTCAATTGTAACTCGTAACTGAAGTATTGTCTCGACAAGCATATCCTTTTAAAAAGACAGCTTTAAAATGTGCTTTGGGAAATTCTCTTTAATATATTTTCAAATATTCTCTTATTCTACTACTATTATTTGTATGCTAAAAACGTAGTAGCAGAAAGCAACTTTGGTTGTTGCTAAGGATAATACGGTACAGAATCAGCTGTTCGTTTTAACCCTTAAGGACAACAAAATACAGAGTGTTTCATATACATATTCTCGCTCATATTAGGCTCTACTGTGGAATTTCAGATAGTCAAATAAAAGTTCACACACGGCTTTATCTTGAGGATCTAAAGTCAGTAGGTCACATGCATTCTTAAATTTTTGCTATTTACAAATTTTTCCAAACAGATCAATACCCAATTATTATTAGTTATTTTGAATATTATTAATGTCATTCTAGCTCCATATTGATATTTACAATATGTTAAAAAAATTTTCAATGAAACGACCTATTGTACAACTTATGTAAGTATGCGTACGTACTTCATTGTATTTAAATAAAACACTCATAAATGTGCTCATTAAACAAAAATAATGAAAAATCATTGATAAGAATTGGGATTTTTTAAAATTCTGAGATACAAACATTTAAACGCATTATGAATATTTACATATTTATAAATGTTTGTAGATAATTTGATTTCATTTCTTGTATCAAAAGTATTAAAATAGATTCAAAGATTAAGTCTGACCCCAAAAGGGCTTCTTCGACATCTGTCTATTACATTTGTACTCACATATGAGTATGTATGTATACAAATGTATAAAGTGTATTGTATGTATGTATTTATGTATGTTTGTGAACTCAGAACCAAAAGATTGCAACATTAATGTGATCGTAGAAGTCGGAGACTGGAAAAAATGAAAAAAGATTTGTTAATCTCTAAATTTATTGAATTGAAATCAGTTTCACTTGTTCAACTGTAGCAGAAACATGGATCGGAAGTATATTAAGACAAAATTATTAAAAATATTATTAGTGTTGTCTTTAGTAGTGCAACAATGTTGGGGTCAACAAAACTTTAATGAATATGATGATTATGACGATCAAGGAAATTTTAACGATCAGCATCCTTTAGATACTCGTCTAAATTACGGTGCATCACAGCCTCATCATCAGTCGCAAAATAACTATGACTTGTATGAAAGACAAATAAATAATCCACCAAGAGAATATCAAGATGCTCAACATTATGGTGAGGAATCCAATCATCGCGCACCTCAAGCGAACTATGAAGAACAACAATACTCCGCTGAACCTCAACATCCTAGAGTGTATCAACCACGGCCAGAACAAAATCCACCTCCGCCACAAGATCCAAACGTTATATTAGTGCCTCGTTTAGGTTTAGTGCGTGGTCAGAGTAATTTTAAAATCATAAAAAATAGACCTATCAGTGCCTACTTAGGTTTAAAGTATGGCACTGTTAAACCGGGACTAGGGAGATTTCAGGTAAAACATCTAATATTATTGACAATTGCTCAAAGTAGATTTTACTTAAAACTATTTTAGAAAGCTGTATCCCCAGAGTTAATCGAAAATTTAATTGACGCTACTAAAGAACCATCAAACTGTCCTCAATTTCCCGATTTGGATATCATTAGAGAAAAGGAGAGCAGGTTTGAAAATGTAGATGATTGTTTAACGCTGAACGTGTTCACTCCAGCGGTATGAACTATATCCCAATTTTTTTACAACAGCAAGTAAACGAATTACACTCCATTTTAGAAATCGGGTTCATATCCAGTTTTGGTCTTTGTACATGGTGAAATGTTGTTTGATGGCAGTGCCGAAGAGGGTCAACCTGATTACTTTTTGGAGAATGACGTTGTTTTGGTAACCATTAATTATCGATTGGCACCTTTCGGTTATTTGTCTACGCTAACTGATGATATGCCTGGAAATGTGGCCTTGTCCGATATTCAGATGGCTTTAGAGTGGATACAAGAATATATTAGAAGTTTTAATGGCAATCCGGAACAAGTTACTTTAATGGGTCAATCGGGTGGTGCCACTTTGATTCATGCTCTTAGCTTAAGTGGAAAGGTATTTAATAACAAATCACCGATATCGAACTAGAAGATTTATTTAATGTGGATTTCAGGCCGAAGGTTTATTCCATAAATTAATTCTCCAATCTGGCACAGCTCTTAATCCCTACTTTCTGGACGACCAACCTTTGGGAACTTTACGCAGTTTTGCTCATTATGCCCGTTGTCCACCTAGCCGAAACATTGAGGGTCTGATATCCTGCTTCGAACGTATGAGTACCTCGGATCTTCTGAATTATTTCAAAAGATATTTTGTATGAAATACTAAATTAACTGATCACAAATTTTATATATTAAGTTTATATTTAATTTTAATAACTCCCAGGAAAACAATGAACCTAGAGGTTTACAATTTGTGAATGGTTTCAAATTGATAGTGGGTGACAAACTTGGGTTTTTGCCGGAACATCCAGCATCAATGGTGGCCAACAACACCAAACCAATGATTGTAGGTGTAACAAAAGATGCCGGAGCTTTCATTATGTCCAGTAAGTGCAGATACATGCATAAATTAAATTACGTAGAGTGTTCGGAAACAAATGCATAATATTTATTACATTTTAGGGTTCTATGATCAATTGGTACAATTACGCTCCCGTAACATATCGGATTATATTAACGTAGTTTTGAAACACACAACTAAACCTAAACATTATATGTTATGGAAGCAATGGGCTCTAGAACACATTTTTACCGCTGAAGATGCTCGCAATCCTTCAGTGAGTAATTTAGTGCAAAAATTACTGGAGGTACGCATATATAAAGACCCATTGTGATCAATTATCAAAAGTTTTTCTAACAATTATTTCAGTTGATCAATTTGATTTTATATCGTGGACCTATAATAGATAGTATACGTTTTACATCGAAAAACCATTCGACATACATGTACTGTTTTGATTATCGTGGCGAATACCATCGTTTTGGACACTTGAAAAATCCATTGCCATTTGAAATTGATGCCACATTAAGTGACGACAACATCTTTCTATTTCCGTATCCTGTCGAGGTTAGTCAACTTAATCCCGAGGACAAATCTATGGCAAGGGCAATGGTCACCATGTGGGTAAACTTCGCCAATCTTGGCGTACCCAATCTAAATACAGGTATATGGCCAAACGTTTCTTCAGAGTATGGACCGTTTTTACGTTTTACAAACACACATGAGAGTAAATTGGAATTGGACTATCATTTTGGCGAGGGAATACCGGTTCCAAACCTTTATCCGGAGTTCTTTAACACAACCAACACTAATAACACTATGGTAAAAACGACAACAAGTACGACCACGACTACAACCACAAAACGGCCCTATACCAATTACTCACAACAAGCTTATCAATCATCATATCCCAATTATCGACCATACCCCAACTACAATACTCAATACAGATCCTCGTATCCCAACTATAGATCACATGAAATGGCACCAACTGAACACCAGGAAAAGCCCGCTCAACCATTACCATCTCAATATAATTATCCGATGAATTCACACTATGGCAACTACCGTGACATGCGTCATTAAAATTGTTTTCAATTAGAGTATAATATTACATACATACATACATTTGCACAAACATATACACACACATATTTGTATTACTGATAAGTAACTCTTGAAATAGATCAATCTATGCACATAGAAACTTACTTATTGCAAGTAGAGAAAACTAAAGTACTTATGTATATTTATATGAAAATAAATTTTACTTATCAGTTCACCTACTTTACTGGATAGAGTTTAAAACATATGTACATACAAGTACGTACATTACAAAATTTTTACAAAATATAAAAAAAAAAAACAAAACAAATTATATTTTTAGATGCCATCCGCAACAAAAACTGAAACTTGGAAAAATTGAGAAGAGATTAATTACAAGCATTTAAATTTTTTTATTATACCCTTCGCTTTCGCGAGAAGGGTATATAAAGGTAATTTCTACAATATAATTTTCTGACCTTATGAAGTTAACGGTTGTCAGAGATGGAAAAAATTTTTAGTGTCTCAAATAAAATTAAAAACACATGATTTTTAAAGCAAAAGAAATCTATATCTTCTGTTATGGCCATATGTAAATATCAATAATAAATATTTTTCATTTTTCGATGTCCCTCTAAACATACAAAGAGGAACATTTTTATCAGGCATCCTTTCATTATTTTGAAAAACCAAGAAAAACAATATAAAAGAACTCTAAAAGTCATTAGTACATGTGTTAGTTAGTGTTCTCATATATTCATAAAGTCCTTTTTAATGAACAAAATGCAATATTTTCATAAAACAAAAATAAAACGGTTAATATTCTTAAAATCTATATATTACTTTATTTCTACTTGGTTGACGTCTAATTATACTATTTTTGGTAATTGATTTCTTCGTTGATGCATTCCTGTTTGTCCTACGAGTTGGCCTGCCTCGATTAATGGTGAATCTTCTTCTCATGTTTACAGTTTTTGATCGATGTTTCTGTTTCTGTTGCCTCTCACTGTAATTACGCCTAAGATAGTAAACTTCTCTTATTAGACTGTGGCCAGACTCTTCATCCATAATCGTAGCCGAAAATTCTTTAAAATAATTGCCGGCTATGGTAAAGGTTTCATCTAGTTTTAAATAGGGTCCATACAAAGTGGTCATGGGAGGCCAATATCCGCTACGGTGGCTTCCGAAAGGATGGCCGTTAATAACAAATGAAGTCCAAACATCTACCATACGTTTTGCCATTGATTCATCGGGTGGGCTTAATTTTTCGACATGCTCTGGATAAGGGAACAAGTATAAAGCCTCATCTGTAAGAGAGACACCAGCCTTAAAAGGACTTTGCATATTATGCTCCTCATCCATATCTCGATAGCGATTAAATTCTCCCGAATAATCGAATGAATAAAGAAATGTATTGTCGGGCACATGTTTATTGTTCATGTTTAAAGCTAGTAATACTGGCAGTTTGTGTAAAAGTGTACCAGCCACCTTAAAAATTTGTTTTTTTTTTAATTATTAGAATTATAAACTTAAGTACTTTAAAAAAAACTTACATCAATTAATCTGGGTATTAAGGTGGGAAATGTACCATTTTCCATAAGTCTTCTATTAAAGAAATCATGAGTAACAAAACTGGTCAGTAGCATAGTTTTGTCAGTGCCCACGACTTGTCGGATAACATGATCAATGTAATCATAGCTATTATAAGTATCTTCCGGTATATTTCCTTCCCAATCATTTTCAACGATCTCTGTAAATAAAGATAATATGAAATGTGATACAACTACTTCAAACGTATATAACAATGTTTACCATTAAGTGTCCTAGATCCAGCATTTTTTGGACAACCACCCATTGCTGGGTATGAATTATTTGATTTCAGCATTAAGTCATATGGATGTTCTGGTAAAACTCCGCTTGGCCCTCCTATAGTGAATTGTATGCCACCAGTGTGACCTACACCCAAGTCTGACTTTTCAATCTGAAATGATACATAAAAATATTAGTATTTCACTTTATATGCAAGTCATTATCAAACGTACACCGTGTGTCATAAAAGCTTCTAGCAATTCCAAAGCCGACATATCCATTAGACACTGATTTAAGTCTCTCACTGTTTTCATTGTACAGTTGTTCTTTTCGGCAATTTCTTGAGCAAACTTTCGAGGATTTTCCTCCAAAAATGTTGGCATTAAAGCTGACCCGGAATGGTATATCACCTGATGAAACAATCCCTTTTCAACCTGCACCAAAAATCAAAATATTGTCTAAAGTTTCGCATGCTGTTTAATTTAATTTTGCTTACCTTAGGCGACAAAGTTAATAAATGCGCAATAGCAGCACCACCCACTTGGCCAGCTACTGTCACTTTATCCGGATTGCCACCAAAATATTTTACAAAATATTTCAAAAATTGTAATGCCAAAAATATATCCAAAACTCCAGCGTTTCCGGGAATTTCATCAGTTTTCGTTGATAGAAAACCAAATGGACCCAAGCGATATTGCGGCACTACCAAAACAATATCTTTTTCTAACAGATAATTTGGTGGAGCTTCCGAGTTACTGCCCTCATACAAATATTCTCCATGTATGTAGACTAGTACAGGATAACTGCCAGACACGTTTGGTGTTGTAATAGTCATTGACAAGCAATCTTCAATATCCATTAAATCATCTAGTTTTTGCAATGAATTCATCGAAACTATTGAAGGACAACCAATTTTTTCAGCCGTCGCATCCATTGTATCTTCCCAAGGTTCAACGGGACGAGGGGCCTATAAAAATTTTAATTATAATTAACTCCAAAAACTTAGTTTCGTGAAAAACGCATTTGAAAAAGTTAAGTCGTTTGGACAATTATTTATGTAGAAAATCATAAAAGCAAATACTAATTTCTTAGTTGTAGTTGTGAGATTTTACTTTTTGTTATTAGTAGTCCAGATTTGATGGTAGAATTGCAATGTTTAAATCGAGAATCGGGGAAACTAATATATTAAAATATGATTGTGTCCCATACATATGTGTATTTTACACTACACCTTTCTAATTTTATCTAACGATAATTTATATAAGTATGTGTGTGTATATTACTAATTTAGCCATTAAGCTTCTGTCATTAAGACTTCACCACATTCAAAGTTATATATTTCGTACACATTTTGTTAAACTTTCCGCAAATTGTTTGTTTTAGCAAATCCCAAAGTTTATGACATAGAGTAAAATTCCATTTGAATACAACGTAAGTTTGAACTAAAGATTACACACCTTAAATCGATACTTTCCCGAAGGTGCTTCTGCATATTTAACATCAACAAACTGTAGTACTTCTCTGTGCGACCACGCAGTCTCAATAACTTTTCCTTGTATCGAACCCAAGTTGGGTAAGGTTATAATCGTGTCCTTTTCTTCATCATACGAAGCGATCGCTAAACAAGCTAGACTAAGAAATACCGTTAGTCTCAAAAACATGACTAATTTTCGAGTTTATTCGCTCAATCAGTATCTGAACCGTTTTCCAAGAATGCGCGTTAAAGACTGATTTCATCGAATGGCGGAGAATGCCACTTTACTAGATCATCATCTGAATGAGAAATAAATGCAAATTTCACTTTAAAAATTAGCCAACGAATATTTTTTTATAATTTCTTTCTTTCCTCTTTCTATGTTACATTTGCAAAATCTTTATGAGTTTGTATGTGAGTGTGTTAATTCTTTTGGGGCCAAAACAGAAATAAAAGATTAAGAAATTGTTAAAAATTGGCCAAACAAAGTGAAAGAATGCGTCGACATAAATTAAACAATTATGGGAAGATCTTCTTGATCTAAAAAGTAATCAACATCATTCGAATCATTAGCATAAAATGTTTTAGCAAAAAAATGCTGTGAACGGTGGATAGTGAATGATGGATACTGTATCTGCATATGACGGTTGGTCAAACACTTGTGTGGTAGCGTTGTTTTATCACCTCTCTTTATTTCTGAGCCTAACTTGAACTTGGAGATGTTGTTGTTGAGCAATATGTTTAATTACATTATTTATAATTTAGTGTGATTTTAGATACTATAATTATGCTAATTTATTTTTTAGTTAGTGGATTTAATAAACAAATCAACATAATTGTCACTAAATATATATATTTCTTAATTACCAAATTTTAGCGGATTTATTCTATTTAATACAAAATTGTAATTTAACAACATAATTATGATCGATTAAGTGAAAGTTTTGAAAGACTAATTTAATACACCTATTGATAACTGAGAGGAAAAAAACAAACAAGGAAATGTCATTAAAAATAGTGGTTGTTTCAAAATTTTACTTTTCAAACTACGCCGTAAGCCACGAATTTAGAAACATGCATCTATCGATCGCATTTAATTCATCAACACCGTTTCTTTCCAAATAGAAACTAAAATAAAAAGTATTTTTTTGTTAAATTAAATATTTAATTCAAATATACAAAAACACATACATATGTATGTATGTATGTAGCATGTACATATTTTCATTTTTAAATAGAGTATTTGAAACGGCTAATTTAGACTTTTAGAAGTGTAAATAATAAATATTGACATCTTAATTCCATAATCAACTTAAAAGTCCAACTGAAAAATTGCTATATGTATGTTAGTCAAACATATAAACACAATAGCCAAAATATATAGAGCGTTTAACGTTATATTATTTTCTTTTTTTTCATTTCTTATTTTTGTTTTCAAACTAATTTTATTCGTCTATAAATATTCATGTGTTTGGGGTCACTGTTTCAGTTTCGCGAATGAACTTTGTTAATAATTTCGATAGAAGCAGAAATACAAATGCTTCTATTTATTGGAGTGGCTAAATAGAAAACTTTCTAAATGTATATGTTTTCGTTTTAACTTCTTTTTTTTTACTTAACCTAACTAACGAAAATTGACCTTAACAAATTAATTGTACATATCGATTAAATGCCATAAATCATTGTCTTTAAATACATTCATATGTATGTATAATTTATGAAATACATACACAGATAAGTACATACATACGTACATACTTATGCATACATATGTACATTAGAAGTGCCCAGTAAATACACATTTTTATTTGGATTTTTATTATTTTATTTATTGGTGTATAATACCTGCATAGTTGTGATAAATTTTAGTCGAATCGGATAACATGAATCCTCGCCAGGAATCGATTGAAAAGTGTAAAATTGGGTAAATAATAGAACTTTTACAAATATGTAGCAAAACGACTAATTAATGCATATTTTATAGATATTTTATTTAAACAAAATGCATGTTTTTTTGAATATGTAGGTAACGTTTTTCATTTTTTCGTTTTTTAACGGATTTTCGGCATCCCGTTATCCGATTCAACTAAATTTTTACACCAGTTTGTTTTATACACTAATGAGCAAAATGAGTGATGAATGAGAAAAACTCATATCTTTTGCTCAACTCTAATGTACACACATACATAAATACATATAAATCTTTACACATACAATCTCACAAGTACATAAAGAATTATTGGTTGCTGGAATCTTTCAAGTTGAAAGTGAACAATATATCCGATATTTGCAAAATACTCAATTTCGTGTAATATTTATTTCAAATGTCAATTAAACTAAATAACATACTAAAAATATGGAATGCATCCTGGAATGCATGAAATTTGGTAAAAAATGTCTAAAAGGCTTTTGTGAACTTATCCTTATCTATTAAAAGAAAAAAGTTAGATCATATTTCAAATGTGCAAATTTAAAATTATTATTGAATTAAGTACAAGATACATATAAAAAACTATTTCAATAAAAGTTTAAATACAAAAACTGTACAATAGAAATACACTAGAAGTGATCAGAGTTTGTGTACTACATATGTATATCGTCACCTGAAATGCAAAAGGGCGTAACAACCCAAAATTTAAAATCGACTTTTTGATAGAAAATGGTCCACTGCATTAAAATACATGTTTTCGCAAATTTTTCTATTGTCAAAAACACCGACTTTATTAACATGAAATTCAAAAGGGCGTAACAACAAATTAGTCATGTCTATTCGCCAGAAAGTCTTAAAAAACATCATAATAGTATGTGTTTACTATTTCATTTGAAAATCCACAATCTTAAGTTGCAATTCCGTAAATCAATCTGGCTTCGATTTTGCCTTGAAGTGAAAGAAATATCTGGAGCTTTGATCAATATATTAGACACAGGGAATTTTGCTACTGACACTGATCAAAATAGACTCATAATTATTGTCTTAATTTCTAATATATGCATATTATGTACATATTTTAAATTGTTTCTTCATTATTAAGTTCAATGTCTGGCATTAAATATTTTAAGTTCATCAACCTCGAGGTGATGATCATCATAATATTCTAACAGAAGAAATTAAAGTACATTTTGAATTTTATTTTCATTAAAATACATGTAGTTACATATAAGTGTACATAATCATTAAATAGTTACATACAATAAATGGTATGTGCTTAATAACTATATAGTTTAATTTATAATCCTAGTCATCATTACGTCTGTTTTAAATTTTTTTTGTCCTTTTGGCTATTAATACAATATTGCCACGACCCTCTTCATTGTCTGTCTCCTCTTGATCAGCAGATTGATCGCCTTCTTTATTTTCAGTAATATCGACTAAACTGTCAAAGAATTCTTCGTTGACGAGATTATAACCATCAGCGGTTTCCTTAACGGCAGCGGTAAATTCATCGATATAATTTTCAGCAATCGAAACGGTTTTTCCAATTTTCATATATGGTCCCGTCTCATCGTTCATTGCAGGCCATTCTGGAACATTGGGAGCAGATGGCTTACCAGTGGCAGCAAACGAAGTCCAAAATGACACCATGCGCTTAGCAATCTTAATGTCACGATTTGAGTTGAGTAAGAGATATCTTGGCCAAGGGAACAAATAGAGATTGTCGTCAGTTAGAGAAACGCCCAAATCGAACGGCATCTCATTTATATCATAATCAGCATTATCAGATGTTGTGTAACGGTTTAACTCGCCCTCATAGTCAAACGAGTATAGATATGTACTATTGGGCAACTTTTGTGCGTTGCCTTGTAGGGCCAACAAAACTGGATTTTTAAAAGCAATAGTACTGCACAGCTAGAATTTTAGAAGATATTTCGTTTAATATAAAAATTAATCGATATTGTGGAATCAAAATTGTACAAAGTTAGTGAAAAGTTTTCATCTATCAAATGAAACTTACATCAATTAAACCTGGAGTCATTGCGTGGAATGTACCATTTTTAATTATTTCGGGAGTGAAGACTTCTTCCTCAGCATACTTCTTCCAAGCCTCGGTGGGATCAGCACCATTGGTTTGTGATATAATAAGATTTATGTAGTCTATGCCGTTCATGGTGTCATCGATAATAGTTTCGTTAAAGATGTCCGTATAAATATCTGAGTAAAAAATTTAGAAAATAACCAAGTGTGTTTAATTGAAACATTAGTAAAAATTTTGATTGATACCTCTTAATATAAAAGTGCCACCATTCTTAACACTACCGCCCATAGTGGGGTAGGCTTTGAAATTTCCAGATGTTAGTATTTTAGCAGGGTATTGAGGCAATATCCCCGAAGGACCACCGACAACAAATTGTACAGCACCAGACGCACCTACACCTTGACTTAACTTGGAAGTACTGTGTACATTGAAGGCTTCCAACAATTCAGTAGCGTTTAACTTACGCAAACATTTGTTAAGAGAATCGACTTTGTTTACATTTTTGCAACCAGCTATTTTACCAATATCCTTGGCTGATGGTAAAGGATTGTCGGTAATAAATGCTGGAGATAAAGCGGAGGCCGAATGATAGATTACACGGTGGAAAAGACCTTCTGGTACGGCTGGACTCATGGTTAGGACATTGATGAGAGCTGCACCAGCAACTTGCCCAAACAAAGTGACACGCGTGGGATCACCTCCGAAGGCTGAAATATGATCTTGTATCCATTGCAATGCTAACACTACATCCTTAACTCCAGCGTTTCCAGGTATATCGTCTGTCATTGTCGACAAAAATCCGAAAGGACCCAAACGATAGCGCACAGAAACCAAAACGACATCTTCTTCTAAAAGATATCCTGGGGCAGCCTCTAAACTACTACCATCATATAAGAAGTCACCATGGACATAAACCATAACAGGAGAATTGCCAGTAACCTAAATAAAAAATAAATATGATTTACATTTCTTATGTTCTACTTCGAAGGTCTCGAAGTAATTCACACACAAACTTACTGATTTCGTATTAACGGTCAATCTTAAACAATCTTCCACATTGATTTTTTTCGCTTTTAGCGCTTCGTAGCTGACCAAATCCTGCAGGGAAGGACAGCCATGATGAGGTTTATCTGCACTTAGCACATTGGACCAGGGAGTGACGGGCACAGGTGCCTTAAATCTCAAAGAACCGGAAGGAGCTTTGGCATAGGGAATGTCCAAGAATTGCAAAATAGTTTTACCGCTCCACTCTGACTTAAAAGTGCGTCCCTTCACCGAACCCAGTCCGGGTATTAATTGTGTAATATCATCTTTGACTTTCTTTAAAGGTTTCTCTTGTCTATTCTTATTGTTTTTAATGGGAACTTTATTAATCTTATTATTCCCCTTTTGTTTATTGTTTTGTGGTTTATTTAAATTTTGTTGTTGTTGAACCTTTTGAGAACCCCGCTTCCGTTTATTTTGCTGTTGTTGAGCTTCTGCGCACAAACTAGAGATCACTAGGATCAAAAGAATTAAACATAAAACCCTTAATTTCAACATCTTGTATGTTGAATGACTAAATTCAAACTAATTCTTTACTAAAAAGTATGCCTCCCAAGAAACCTTTTTGCAAAAAGAATTCAAGAATAGATAGAGGGAAGAAAAAGATAATTTATGTTTTTGTTAACTGATCGCCTACGGTTTTTGTTAAGCATGTTCTTATGAAAATTGGGTCAATCTAACAAAATTATGATTCTGTTTTATGCTTAAGGGCAATTAAATATCAATAATATAAAGGTGAAACAACAAAAGCCAATAATATAACTTTTTTGCAAGAACATATTAGCAATTCTAATTCTTTACCAAAAAGTGTTACAAAATACAACATCTTCATTAGGGTGGCTCAAAAAAATACTGTGTTTCCTACGAGACTGAAATCTAAGTTTTTCTATAATATCTATTGTCAAAAAAGTTTTAATTTCGACAAGAGAGTAATTTTCTGTAGTAAATGTTTAAATATTCGAAGCCGATTATCTCGGCGCGATGATTTTTGAGTTATCCCAGTTTTATTGTTAATGAGCGATATGTAAGAATAGGATGATGTCAACTCTATTTTTTCCAGAATATGAAAGTTGCCAAACGGAGAAATTTTCGACTAGAATTGATATGCAGAATCGTGGTGATTAAAATTGATGTTACAATTCAAACACAAGTTTTTGTATATGTATTTAAATTTTATTGCAGATTCCTTTTAGATGATTATTTTTTATCAAAACAAATACATATAAATTGGATTCGTTTCCACTTGAAAACAACAAATTATAAATTAGATAAACATTTAAATGTTGTTATTTTTATAAATTTGGATTTAGGAAAATGTGATGAACATTCATTAAAAATGTTGCAGTTTAACCTATAAAATGGCAATATTTATGAGTGAATATTTAATAATCAAACTAAATTCATTTTTATTATAATGAAAAGCAATTTTAGTAAAATGTTTAGTTGATATTCAATAAAATAGCCGATTCAGTTTTTAATCCATTTATTTGGATTTCATTTTTATTTCAATGTTATTTTTGCTATTTTGTTTCTTGCGTTTTTTAATAAGTTGTCGTGGTATGAAGAATGGAGAGGAAAGGAAAAAAACTTATAAAATGTTTAAGGAATTAAAAGAAAGTAAACTAATTATTTTTGGTTAATAATTAAGTATAAATTATTTTATATTTTTTTAGTTGTGTGGTTGGTTTGATTTATTTAAAGTTTATTTATTTTAGTTTTGTAGAGATTAGAGAGAAATTTATTTAGGTTGTTTTAATTCATTTAAATGACATTTTAAGTTTAAAAATGAAGTGTTGTAAATTGGTTGGTTTGGTTTTTATTGTGTTTTGTTTATTTTATTTTGTGTATGTATCGTCTGTGTTTTTCATTTTGTTAAAAGCCACCAAACTTAAAATTTCGCTCCAAACAACTGTATGCTGTGTGCTTGTCTTACAAATTCTATACATCTATACTGCTAGCTAGTTATCCTTGTAATCGGCGTCGGCCTCCCTATTCTACGTCCATCGTTGAATCATCTGGTACACTGTTTGTGTGCGCTGATTTATCAGCATCTGATTTGCTAGCATTTTCACCATTTTGCTGTTCAGCTCCGCCAGTGTTTTCTTTGGCTGGTGCTGGTTTCGATGCTGGTTTTGGCTTAGGACGATTGATCACCGAATTGACGCAGGTGTTGATAGTCTGTACTTCGTGACGTATATCGGCAACCTTTACAGGGCTGTCAGCGGTCCTTGGTGCCTGTGCGAACTTGGCCATGTTAGTGTCAAGCCATTTTTGGGCTTTTTCAGCATGTTCGGCTACATTAATGAATTCGGTTTCAGTTAAATGGTCGTATTTGGGAGATCCCTTCTTAAATTCATTGACGGCAACGCGAGCATTATTAATGGCGTGTTTAAGTTCCTCAAACACTCCTGGGCATAGTTCGAAGTCGTTGGCTCTTTCTTTGATGGGATTTGTTTGATTATGCAAGGCTTTGAGTTTATTAACATAAGTATCACGATCACAATCTTCTCCATCCTCATACAACCAATTCTCCAGATCATTAAGCTGTGAGCAGATGGCATCACGCTCACTTTCTACCACAAAACGTTCCAGAGGACCGCCCTGAAAGTAAAATAGATTCTCATTAGTAAAATTCAAACTATATGCTATCCATATCGTAGCCATACCTGTAATTTGTTACGCATTTCATAAACAAATTCTTCCAAAGCATTTTTAGCATCAATGCGCTCAGTTTCCTTGGCATCATTGGATACCATCTTAGCCTCCTGTTGGATCAAATTGCTCAAATCATTTGCCGAATGTCCGTGTGTGTGGAAATCCATGGGCAATTCGATTAATTTCGATGATTTCTTTTTCTTATCGGCGCCCTAAAAGTAATAAAGCAAATACGTTTTATATTAAGCATCACAAGTCAAAGTAAAATAAAAAGAAATAGGAAATTTGAAATTTTAAAATGAGTTATTCAATCAACTCAACAATCAGCAAAACAAAAGCCTATATAGGAACCCTTAGTAATGGAAAATAAACAGAACAAACAAACCTTAAAATTCTCAACAAAATCAAGTGCAAAAAGTTAGACATTCTATTTGTATTTAGGAAGGGAGTGATTGCAATTATAGTAAAAAAGTAAGCTTATCTTAGATAGTGTGGATGTGAGTGTGTGTGTATGGCAAATATTGATTAATAAATAAATTTAATGACAAGGTGGAGTTGTTTGTTACTCAAGGGTAGGCTTGTGAGCGGTTTCCTTCTTTAGTCTAAAACAAAGAAGTTGCCATTATGTTTATGTAGATGTACACATGTTTGGTTCAACAAATTTCCAATTTCTTTTTCTTTTGCTTTGCATGTTTTTCTATTTCTTTTCATTCATAAGAGGAAGTGTATTTAAGGTCTTAATAATAAATAAAAAAGCGTTAGAGAGATTGTGAAAACGTACCGCAGTAAACCAGCCCTTGACCCGCTGAGCCCACCCTTGTCCTTGTCCAGGCGATGAGGCTGTTGTATTATTATCATCCTCATTATCATAAAAAGCCTACGAGAGTGTGTGTGAGTAAGTGGTTCATGGACCATCATCAATGATGAAAATAAGATGTGATTCAAAACGAGAAGCCAAGAAGACAACAAAAACAGAAAAATCAAATTTCAAAATTGATGATTTACGTTTTTTGCAATTACTACACACAATTAATGAAGAACGACAAACCAATTATGTGCAAAAAAAATATGGTTAAGATGCGCAACTTAATAATTAAAACAGGAATGGAAATATTAAGGAGGGGAAAAGTAATACAAAATAAATGGAAACCAAATGAAACAGAAAGGATAGGGTTAGTTAACAAAAATAAAACATTAATGTCCGAAAAGAAACTATTTTTTACATTTAAAATTGATGTACCGCCTCTAGCGAAATGTTTCTACAACTTTGAAAATAAAATTTAAAAAACTGAATGTTGTGACAACAGAGAGCACTTCAATACTAGATTCTACTTCAAAATGTATCGATTGATAATAACACTGAGATTGTTTTTACCTCTTGTGAGACATCCATTGGTTCGCCAGCATTTGGTGGTTGGCCTTCACCGGCAGCGGGCTGTTCAGCATTTGATTGTTGTTCTGGTTGAGGGGTGGCAGGTTCCTCCACCTCCTTCTTGTCGACCAATGAGGCACTTGAAATCAAGACAATACCGTGGTGATTAATTCTGACTTTCACCTTGACCTCGGAGTACTCTCCCTTCTCGTTGGGCTTGACATCCTTTATGGTCCAGCGACCAATTGTGGGATCTGGATAAGGAACGGCTTGGGCATACTGAACGGTCATAGTGAAAGGCTCTTTGCGGTTCAGCGTTAACAGACGACTGAAGGGAGCAGCGTGAAATACGGGGAACACCTCGATACCACCTCCGGGAAGAGAACCTTCCCCATCCCAAGTAACTTTAACGGCGTAATTCTGGATGTCAGTAACACCAAACTCGCGTACACGTACAGCGGGCGACATTATGGCGCACTGCAAGGCACCTCCACGAGAAACTGACTCGTCTTGGTTCAATGTTGTGCTGGCCGTCTTTCCGAAGACCTGTTCGATTAAATGCTTAATAGCAGGAATGCGAGTGCTACCGCCCACAACTTCCACCGAGTGAATCTCCTCCAGGGTAAGTTTTGACTCCGCCAACAATTTTTTAAATGTGGCTTCGACCCGTTGGAAAACAGGAGCACACAACTCTTCCATTTCAGAACGTTGCATGCTAGATGATACATCAATATCATCCATGAAACACTCGATGCCGAGGGGCAGTTTAGTGCTGTTGGCAGACATTTGCTTCTTCAACTTTTCAATTTCGGTGATAAGACGCAGCCAAGAACGAGCATTTGTTTTAGCATTAATCTTGTAGCGGTCGTTGAATTCCTTAGCAAAGTGCTCAGCTAGGGCAAAATCTATGTCCCGGCCTCCCACCTGATCCCAACTGCTGGCCAGCATCTTAAGTTTGCCCTTCGTAAAGGCACACGCACTGACCTGCAGTGATGAGTGACCACAGTCCACAAATACGACATTACGTGGCTTATCTTCGGGCAAGTCCTGCTTATAGAAACCATACGACAAAGCCGTAGCTGTGGTCTCATTCATAAGACGCAAGACATTGAGACCGGCAATTTGGGCAGCATCAAGCAAAGCCCTACGCTCAGCATTCGTGAAGTACACGGGACAAGTTATAACACAATCATTTACCTAAAAACAAACAAATAAGTCGTTAATATTTAAATTATATTACACCACTCATCATTCTAGCCACTTACCTGGGCGCCTAAAGCATGAGTAGATGTCTCTTTTAATTTGGTGAACAACATGGCGGTCAACTGTTCAGGTGTGAAACATTGCTCCTGGTCCAAATAATTTACACGGAAGCCGATGCTGCCATCTGGTAAAGCCTCGACTTTTGTTGGAATGCTGCTGAGTTCACGTTGAACATGGGGATCGTTGAATTTACGCCCCAATAAACGTTTAAAGCCACTTACTGTGTTTTTCAAATTTGTGACTTGTTGATTTTTGGCGGCCACACCAATAATACGTTTTTTGCCATCGAACGCTACACATGATCTATGATTAAAGAGAGAATAACATCAACACACACACATATAGCCTCAATAACTAAATAAAAAATGTATGATTTTTTAAATCACTACCAAAAAAAAAAAAAAACAATCTAGAAAAAATGACGTCATAACAAATTTGGTCAGACGATAAGAAAGAAGTTAATGTTTAAACAAGTAATTGACTCATTCATCTTTTTAATAAGGTGTTTAATATGTTTTAAGTATGTTTAAAGTGTACGTCGGTTGATATGTGAATGTTTAGTCCCAACAGCTGGTCACGTAACATTAAATTTCTTTCAATGTAGAATAAAATTTTCCTAACGTACACTATTTGTTTCATAACAGCAATAATAATCGACCAAAGATTAATAAATTAAAAATTTTATTAAATGCATGTATGCAACATTCTAATACCAATAAAAGAAATTTCGTTTCGCATACCTGCTAGTCTTTTATAGGTACATATATACTTTAGGTATTTGTATTAAAAAATAACAATTTTTCATCTTGGCTTTGCTTAATATTATTGTCTTTAAATAAATTATGTCGTCGTCCAAATTGGTATAGTCGTCACAAAATTTGCCGGTCGATGACTATTTTTATAGTTTTCGATACTTTTTGCAAACAAATAGTGGACGCTTTTGGTCATAATAAAAATATGTATAAACAATAAATATTACACCCACCTAATTTAATATTTTGTATGTACATAGTTTATTTGTTGAATGTACTATGTCTATCAGGGTATATCAAAATGACTTAAGTAATTAAAAATTTTAAGTTTCATGTGAAAAAGAAATTTTCGCATTTTTGCGGAGAAAACATATTGGATTATTTTACAACAACAATAGAAGATGCTGAGCTTAGAAACAGTTGCATCCGGCCGATACATTCACCTTTTCTGGATAATTATTTTAGTTTTAAAATTTCGTTAATTTTGGGCTATTACAAAATCTATTCCGATTATTTAAATTAATCTTTAACATTTGTATGTTGAATTATTTGATTCCATCAGAAGTAGAATTTTCCTTTAAAATGATTTTCTCATAAAAAATTAATAGTAAGTTGTTATAAAAACTTAAAATTAATATTGATTTCAAATTCCTTTATATAAACCACTTTTAATACCTATTATGATTTGAAAACTAAGAGCCACCCTTTCTTTTTTAGCCGACATTTGTAACCATGTACAATCAGTGGTGACATTAACATCACAAACTCAAATTTAATTTGGTCGTCCATTTGTATTGTTAGTATGAGATAATGAAGAATATTCCGATATAAACGCATTATTAATTTCAGCTGTGTCATTGAAAAATCAATAAATTCTAGAAAAATAAACAAACTTCTGGAATTAAATAGAAATGTTTTGAAATATTTAATTGACTAAAACGCCCTATTATTTCGAGTAAAACAAGACAATTTTTTCTGAAATTTATATTTTTTCCTTGTACCTATATGAAGAATATGCATACATACATTGTAAAATTATTGTAATTTCCATGTACTTTTTGTTTTTTTTTTTTTTTTTTTCAACACTTACTCTTTGTAGTAGTCAAAAAGAGAACGAAAAACAAAGTGAGAAAAAGTTAATTCTAACCTCACTTTTTTGGCATTTGTAATGCTTAATCACTAAAATTTTTTCTTTCTTCTTGTAATTTTTACAATTTACTTAAATTAAATAAAATATTGAATTTTAATATACTTACGGAGTTGCTCTTAAGCTGTAATCATTAGCCAAAGTCTCGATACCACCAGCCTTAGCGGCGGCAATGTAGCAAGACTCACTTCCAAAATCAATACCAATCACAGACATTTTTCTGCTATTTATTCTCCCGGATTATTTATAATGCAAAATGTTTAATTGGGTTTTCTTGCTATAATTTAGGCTTGTTTCTTTTCTACTTCTTATGACCAAAATCACAAACTTCCAGAAATTCTGTAAGGAAAATTTGGAGAAAAAAATTTTATTTGTATCAATCAATAGTTTTCACACGTCATACGACAATTTTTCATGTTAATTTTTTTAATATTCCAGAAAATTCTTTGTAAACAACTTAAATAAAAAGCGAACAAATTCTACAATACATTAGATTACACAAAAAAAATTAACAAAATAAAATTGCACATGGAAAATATTCCGTAACTCCGAATAAATTATTTTATCATTTTCGATATCTGGTTCAAGGTGTGTTTTTATTACCAGTTTTAAATGTCTTATTAAACAGATGTTTTACTTAAATTTGTGTAGTTTGATTTTCACTTTGACAGATTCAATTTAATAATTATTATTTTTTAATAAAAATATGTATGTACCTTTACTTTTTTTAATTAAAAAGCGGAAATTTCTTTCGAGTTGTTTTCTTGAACGCGTTTCTTTTTCAACTGTGCCGTTTTTCTTTTCTTATGAATTTTCTAGAAATTTTTGACGTTTGTTTTGTTTGGTCATTCGTTTATTTAGTGCAAAAAGGAAGTTGGCAACGTTAACAAATATACACAGTCAAATAATTTTGAAATGTTTTATTCAGGGTTGTATTTATGTATGCCGCGTTTGATGTGTAGGAAGTGTATGAAGGTATGAAGGTTTGAAATCTTTATAAATCCTTAAGCGCCACGGCCACACATCAAATTTGTTTGACTCAAACGGTAAGTTTTTTGATTGGGTTAGTGAAAAAACTCACATGTATATGTGTGGTGTGAGTTTTTTTTACTAACACAATCAAAAAACTTACCGTTTGAGTCAAACAATTTGATGTGTCGCCATGGCGCTTTAGGTTGTCAAACACATAAGAAATACACGGGGTTGTATGAAGACTCGGTATGATGACTTTTTTGGCGCAAAAAGTCATCATACGGGTCAGTGGCGGGATAAATTGCTGCAAAAAAATACAGCGAATTCATCGATTTGCATAAAAATTGCAGCGAAAAAGATGCAGCAACTTCATTGCAACAACAAAGTGTGCAAAGAAGTGGAAACTATTTTATTAAGAAAATTTTAAAGTTGTTAATTTCAAAAAATAATAAATTTTATCGTGGGAAAGTTGTGTTATTTTTGCAAGAAAAAAAGGAAATAATTCGTGCAAATTTACTATTATTGTTAATAATATATTCTATATAAAAGATAATTATTTAATTTGCGGTTCAGAAGAGTTCTGTGGAAAAATTAATTTACAAAATTTGTTATTTGGTGCTTTTTGAAATTTTAAAGTTGACAACACTGTTGTTTTCTTCTTCTACTTAATAAAAAAAACACGAGTTTGTTGAAAATTATTCGTTTAGTGAACATTATTTTTAGGATTTATCGTAAATTAAGCATTTATAAAATACTAAATAATGTTTCGAATGCCCCCACAAATTGATCCCGCCGAGGAAAAGAAGCGGGTACAAGCTGATGTACGCAATAATTTTATAATGTTTACCGTTTTATGTTTAGCCATACGTTTGGGTAAGTCGAATAAAATTGTATTACAGAATAACATTTTCACTCCTAACTTATTTACTTTTTAGCCCCGATTGTTTTGGATAAAGTTCAGGCATAGCATTTCAAGAATCCATCAGCAACATGGGTAGAGCATCTAATGTCTTTATTTTTTAAGGCAAAATGTTGACTGAAACCAATGGTTATATCGTGTCCGATGAGTAAATTTATTTGCAGTTATTTAGTTGCTTTTATTTCTCAACAAACCCAAGTTGAATTTATTTAAATTATGAGTGTTATCTAATGAATTGAAATAAAATATTCATTGTTATTAATAAAATCGTGTATATCTTTTACTTATCGTTCAATCCGTACTCAAGTATAATAGAAATTTGATTTGTGCCATTGGGAATTCAAATGTGTCTGTATGTATATGTATGTATTTATGTATGTCATGTGCAATATAACTATTAATTATCCCTTCACACTTCATTTTACACAGTACCGTTACATGCGAAATTAAAATTAAGTAAAAATTAAGATTAACCAGTTTTTGCTTTGAAGCTAATTAATTTGGCAAATTTGTTGATCTTGAAACTGTTTTGACTATTAATCATTTCATCCTGGGATTGAGTCAAATTTAAAATGGAATTACAATTGCCCCAACAGCTGGAATATTCACTAAGCCAGCAATATGGTATAACAAGAGTTTGATTTATTTATTTGATGTGAACATTTTAATTAGAAAATCTAAATTTAGATATTCTTACTGAATATGCAAGTCCACGCAATGCGGAAGTTGCAAAACAAACAGAAAGAAATGATGAGAGTTTTTGTAACAAACCAATTCACAATTGGTAAGGTATTCTCTACCAGATCTTTGAAATTAATAATTGAATCCTAAAGAAGTTAGATTTGAAATTCTTGATATACATTGTACATAGTAGGTGCTATGTTGGATCAGTATTATTAATAGTTTTCATTTATTAGCACTCAGCGAAAAAGAAAAATATATCCTAGTCCAGTATGGCGCAGAGATTCAACTAACCGTTTGCAGCGCAAACCACTTCGAAAGAGCACTTCTTTTGAATCATCTTTGGACGAAATTCGAGACTATGATTTGAACGAAAGTGCCGTAATGGATTCATTATTTAACTCAACTCATATAAAGTAAGAAATACTTCAATAATAAATTAAACTACTAATCTATATAAATAATCAACCGCGACAGTTCTCCCCAGTGGCAGAGAGTAGAGTATGAATGTACAACGCAGTTAAGGAAAGGTTTAATGCCTGTACAAAATCGTAAAATTTTTAATTCGACTATGAAGAACGGGTAAGTCAATATTGTACATATTTTTGTTAAAACCTTCCTATCGATACATTTTAGCTATCCTCATAAGTCTATGGCTGAAACTAATGCAAATCCAGAAATTTTGTTAAATATGGACCAATACACCTCACCGGTCATACATCGGCGCAATCACTCAGGAAAACTTAAGATGTAACTTGATTTGTTGCCTACAAATCCGTATTCATTCTAAAAACTTACTTTTATTTAAATATACAGTTCCAACAGTTGGATAGAATGGACACCGTTTTGGAATAGAGATGAATACAGCAAACGTTTAGATCGTCGTCATTATATTTCGGATTTTTTTGACTTCTCAATGGATCCTAATGATTATTAATTAATCTTCCTAAGTTGGAAATTTTATTAAGAGCTGCGCTCAATATTCTGTTTTATCATTTTATAAAAATTTCCATTTTAAGACTTGTACTTGCATACTACATATTTAAATTTTATGATTTTAACAATAAATTTTTTAGGTATAACACCTTGATTTTAACAAGAAAAACAATAATTATTTTATTTTACATATTTTTTATTTTAGATTTTTTTTATAGAACGTTCGTTCGTTACACATTTTCTTTACTTAAACTAAAATTGTAATGAAAGGTACATACATTGCATACTTAATTATGATAAAAAAATAATATGGTATATATTAGTTTATACATTTTTCGTAATGATTAATAATAATAATGTGTATATGTTAACAGATTAATAATGGCAATATCAAAAACACAAAAAAATTTATTTCGAAAAATCATTTCGAAATACCCTAATCTCTATCATCTTTCAGAATTCCTTAAGTTAATGAATTTTTAAAGGCATTTCAGCTTGGCTTTTACCTTTGACTTCAGCGCTTTTTATCGACTGTGCGTTTATACTTTACATGGTTTCTTATTATTTTATAAATATAAATAATTTAGGAAATAAAGAATAAAAAATCAGTACGAGAAATTGAAAAACTTAAGACCTAAACGGAGGAATTGAAAATAGAGACAGTGAGAGAGAGCGTAGTCTTAGAAATGTACAATTTCAGTTCATTCATTCAATATCTATACAAAGTTCATCGGTTATGGAATGAGGGGACACCAAAGGCTCCTGCTGAGTGGAGATCAACTTTAAATGTACATGAGAATGTGGCGTATATCTATTGTGTCGTTGTGTTGCTGCCGATGACTGTGTTGCTTCGTCTTCTTCATAATATGGATGATCTACTTCGGGATCACTAAAAACACAAGACTCTTCGACAACATTCACTAAATTATCATCTTCAATAGCTATTGATGAAGTATCCGATGCCATTTGATATGCATTGTATGATTCTGTTGATGCTGTTTGGGAAACGTTTGGTATAATAAGTAGTTGATTTGGCATTTCACTCTCGCTACCAACTATTTTGGAATCCGATGATGACAATGATTGTTGATCAATAAAGAAATCTAAAAAATAGAAATAAATGTTAAGTCCTTCTTATTTATAAATATATTAAAGTAAAAGTTTCGTAAGTCTAAGTTTAAAAGACACAAGAACTGTAGGATGACAATGATTGCGTTAAATTACAAACAACAAAACGATTTAATATAAAGAAAAACATTAAATGATCCAAAAGATAAATTTACCTTTAATTAAAATTAAAAATAAATTTAAATATTATTAACCAAATCGTATTAAAGGAATTTATGTAAATTAGTGTGTTCTAGTGGATGGTTGTTGGTGTGGTTGTCGTTTGATTAAGTGCGAATTATTAGTAATTGATGTAGAACATATTGTTTAAGTGGTGCAAAATTTAAAAAATATCTTCACGACAATCTGGTGGTGTAGGTATTATCTGGACTGTAAAAAACAAATTTATTGATTTATTTACAATGATGGTTACATGTGGAAGGGTTAGATATGGATTTAAAAATGTAATATGAAATAAATATCGTTATTGCTATTGTTTTGTAAACTATTTTATTATATATATATTAGTATAATTACCCGATTCAACGCCATTCCATTCGCTAACCACAGTGTTGTGATGATGTTGATGAGGATTTGGATGATCTTCAACGGAGCCTTCGTACTGTTTTAAATCCGTTGCAAGATCCATATTTTCTGTCATATCAAATATTTCGGTAACTTTTACTTTATTTGTGTTATCATCAGTGTAGTAATAAGCATACAATGCATCATTGTGGGTTGTAACCTTCAAAACATGTTCAAAATGATCAACATCATCTTCTAAAGGTGCTGCGCCACTGTTTCAAAAAAATTTTATTTTTTAATAAATATTAATAAAAATAGAGTAGCAAATTAAACTTACCATTCATCTACTAATATTGAAACTCTAGGCCCATATAATCTCTTTGAATGTAACAAACCAGTCGTATCAAAATGAGGTGGATCACAGATCTAGTTGAATAAATGAAGAAATATTTAGTATTTTAAATAATTCTAAATTCAGTTGTACGGTTAAACTTACCGTAAACTTATTAAGTATACGCACTTGGAGAGTATTATTTAATTGATATATAAATTCTTCTACCATCTGACGCATTTGTTTCGTAAGTTTTGGTGTCAGTGAGCTAAGTCTAAAGAATATAGGGAAGTTAAAACTAAACATTTATTATGATAAATAAAGCTACTTACTTGGATACTGTGGCTAAAAAGAAATCCATGGGTACTGTGGCTGGCAGGGATAACAACTTAATGCCACGATGTTTAAATATCCAATTTGCCAGACCCTTATTAGCTTGCTCTATATAATCTTGTATGACATCCAATACAGTTTGTGGCATATTAGAAGTCAAAGCATCCTAAATTAAACAAGAAAAAATATAAATTATTATAATTTTCTTCGATTAGTTAAAATGCATATATCGCACCTTTCTATGCTTTTTACATTCTCTACATTCCGGATCGAAATCTTGAGGTTGAGCTACAGTTTCCGAAACTACAAATGTTGACTGGACTGCCACACAGCGGCGACAATTTATTAAATTGTTACGAGTCAAAAATTGTAGGGCATCATCGAAACCTTGCTGACAGAATTTCGATAAAAATTCTGGTCTTGGCGGAAAGAGAATACGAACGAATCGATTAATATTTTGTCTGGAAATCTCAATGCTGGTATTGGCCCAATTAAGATGGAACAACTGGGAACTTTGATCGCGTGGACATATATCACTTTCTCCGCAAAAAGGCGATACAGTTATGGTATTTTCATCTAAAATTGGTAAATTGTCCGAGAATGCACCATCCATATAACGGACGCCCCGAAAGCGGGGTGGTAGTATTCCAGAAAAGCCAGGAATGAAACAAGCACATAGCAATGCTTGCAAAACCTCATCTCGCGAATTGAACTCTGATATAATAACATTCTTGCCATCATATACACGGGTCATAGATATGTGCAAGCGACCACTGACTCGTTTATGGGCATCATCAGGCAAATGCTTTTGTAGACCTTCAAAAAGACAAGTTTGAATATTGAAAGATGGGCTAAATGGACCCAAGGAATGACGGCGAGCTTCATTAACAACACGGAAAAAATCAGAAGTCATGCTGCCTAAAAATACAAATTATAGATTTTGTTTAGCATTTCAATTAAAACACAGAATTATCAGAAAACAAGTAAGAAAGTATAGTCGGGCGTGGCCGACCATATGATACCCTACACCAGTTATGAATACTAAATGTGATTTATTTTTCATAATATCGCATTTATCTTCAATATTCCCTTGTTCCGATACATTTAAGCAATCTATGGATGAAAAACTAATTTTCTAAAAGAGGCTTTATATGGGGGCTAGGGGCAAATATGGACCAAGCCTGATAAAATTTTGTGAATATATTTATATTTACATAATATTTTATTGTGCTGAATTTCATCGCGATATTTGTGTTTATAAGTTAATTTGGGACATTCAAGTAATTTTCTGAAGGGGATTTTGTATGGGAGCTAGGGTCAAATGGGGCCCGATCTTTATGAAATTTGGCAGGGTTATCAAGACTTCTATAAAACTTAGTTATGCCGTATTTTATCGATATATCTGTATATTTAACATAATTATGAGCTCAGAAGCCCTTTTCGGGAGGTTCTGTTCTATGGGGGCTAGGTGAAATAATTGACCGATTTTAACCATTTTCAATAGGCTTCGTCCGTGGGTCAAATAAAACGTGCGTGCCAAATTTCATCCAATTATCTTGAAAATTGCGACCTGTAGCTTGCGCACAAGGTTTACATGGACAGCCAGCCAGCCAGCCAGACGGACGGACATAGCTTAATCGACTCAGAAAACGATTCTAAGCCGATTGGTATACTTTAAGGTGGGTCTAGGACGAATATTTTTATATGTTACAAACATCAGCACAAATCCAATATACCCTCCCCACTAAAGTGGTGTAGGGTATAAATAGTGGCGTGCTCTCATTTTTATAATCAATGAAGATATATAGAACAGAAGTTATATTATTGTACTTTTAGATACTTTTACTGATAAAGTTTTATTTTTTTAAAGAAACTTTATTAATTTAAAAAATAATAACTAAACACTTAATTTCTTAAAATATTTATAATAACAATAATATTAGTGAAATTTCAGGGATAATTAATGAATACGAATAATATATAATTTGAAAAATAAGGAATTTTTAATTCTTTGTGAAAATATTCATATATATACATATGTATATTGACGTCAATTACATTTCCCAGGCATAAAAGTTATTAATCTTGTCACTGAAATGTGATTTAAAAGGTTTATAGCGCAAGTAGTTTGATAAGTCAATATGCACACATAAATATTTGTTAATCTTCACGGAAACTTGCTTAGCTGACTTCTATAGATTGAAATTTGATTTCGAAAATAATAATTACAACTTTATAATTTTAAATATTCATATTTCAAAGAATTTTACATTTGATTCTTTTGATTTTTATCGAAATATCTTTACATAATAGCCGCATTATTTTATTGTACTAAATAATAAAACTGAAAACAGCAGTTCAATTAAAACTGCGTATGTATTTAATTGAGAATTCTTATCATTCACATTTTAGGGGGTCTTTTGTGCCGAAATTATTAGCACATTTACTGATAAGCATTAAAGTGCGTATGAAGTTTATTGTGTGTAGTTTGTAGGTTGATAAAAAAAACTATTTGTTTTTCGATAATCCTATATAAAAAATGTATGTTATGCCTATTTTTTAATGAATATATGACTTTTTTAATTTCTCGAAATGTATACTTTATAGGGCAACAGTATTACTTAATTGGTCAGTTACAATGCTTGTCAGATTTGCGAGTACTCAAAAATACTCAGAAAACCAAATACATACATATGTACGTATGAATAGATGTTTTAGTGTAAAAATATTTTGAAGTAAACAATATTTGTCATGCATTACATTTGCTACAATCAATTTATTTATAAATTGTTGACCACAAAAATAAAGCTACTACGTAAACAAATGTCAATAATAAACAAATAACATAGTTGTTTTTATTATTTAAA